AAAACACGTGAATTTATAAAGTAATTATAATATTCCGCACTATTATGCACATTTTATTTGGCATTCACTTGGAATGCAATTCTTTTTTCTACGAGATTTTATTCTATTGTAAAAAGTGTAAGTATTTAAAATGGATTAAAAATCACGTCTATATCCCAAGTTGCCATCCCCTGTTGTTTCATATAAGAATATTCGAGAAAGTTTAAGGGGGAAGGCTCCGGTAAAAAAAACTTTTTTAATACTCGTTAGAAAACAGTTATTTCTTTACAGCTTTATTAAGATACATCCGCATATGCATTTCCACTAAAATAAATTTTGAAAAAATCTTGGTAACTATGACAACGGCGGCCATCTTGAAAAATTAACCCCTTCGTAGGTTTTCCACCATTCACAAAATATTACATTTTAAGCCCAATAAACAATCAATTCATAATCTTCTTCCATATTTTGAGGCAATCAGCTAAAAATTTTAAGTGCATATCTTCAAACTAATTTTTTATGAATTTTCAAAATTTGTGTCTGTTCAAAACACTAGTTTTAATGCCCCAAAATTCCCCAAAGTTAAGTGTTTTGAACGGACACAAATTTTGAAAATTCATAAAAAGTTAGTTTGAAGATATGCACTTAAAATTTTTAGCTGATTGCCCCAAAATATGGAAGAAGATTATGAATTGATTGTTTATTGGGCTTAAAATGTAATATTTTATGAATGGTGGAAAACCTACGAAGGGGTTAATTTTTCAAGATGGCCGCCATTGTCATAGTTACCAAGATTTTTCCACCAATTTTTTTTAGTGGAAATGCATATGCGTATGTATCTTAATAAAGCTGTAAAGAAATAACTGTTTTCTAACGAGTATTAAAAAAGTTTTTTTTTACCGGAGCCTTCCCCCTTAAGGGAGATCACTCCCGGTTTATTTTCTAAGCATTCAAAAAAATTTGTTTTAAGAAATAAAATTAGAATTAGCATTTTTAATATGTTTTTTTGGGATTAATGTAATATTTTTATTTACATTTAGTAAAGTATTATACTATTTTACCTTGTAATTAAAAAACTCAGACCAATTTTGTGTCTGATGCTTTTTAAATTTTTTTATCATAATGATTTTAAAATAAAACTTTTATTAAGTTCCATGGTTAAATCATGTACAGCCCAATAGTATCTTTACATTATTGTGTTTGTAAACAATTCTCTGTTGAGCAAGTGTTACTGTCAGTGTTAATGCTAGTGTTACTGTCAGTGTTAATGGTAGTGTTACTGTCAGTGTTAATGCTAGTGTTACTGTCTGTTAATGCTAGTGTTACTGTCAGTGTTAATGCTAGTGTTACTGTCAGTGTTACTGTCAGTGTTAATGCTAGTGTTACTGTCTGTTAATGCTAGTGTTACTGTCAGTGTTAATGCTAGTGTTACTGTCAGTGTTAATGCTAGTGTTACTGTCAGTGTTAATGCTAGTGTTGTTGATTGCCAACTTACCCACTTGCACTGGCAAAGTCCCCCCATAAATCAGGAGGGTTTTGTGTGACTAAAGGTTTCTGACCACTGGCTACTGGCTCTGAGGAGCCAATGTCTAACAGCAGATCAAGACTCTGGGCTGGAGACTAAACAAGTTGGAATAAGTGCACTAATGTATTCAAAACATGAAGAGTCAAGTGACAGAATCATGATATACCAAGGGAGAGAATCATAACATACCAAGGGAGGAAATTATGACACAAGTGACAGAATCATGATATACCAAGGGAGAGAATCATGATATACCAAGGGAGAGAATCATGAAACAACAAAAGAGAGAACCCTGGCATGACTCACTGCTTGGAATGTGTTTGGCTGTGATGACCCTGATGATGCTGTCGATGAAGTAGATGAGGGTGGTGGAAGTTTTAGGCCACCAGGGGGTGGTGGTAGCAGCCCTAAGCCTGATGCTCCAGTTGTTGTTTTCCTTGACTTTGAACCATCTCCTTTTTTTGTCTTAAATAAAATAAAAGTTAAGATTAAATTACTTAGAGCTGCATTTCTTTAACAGTAATACCCCAGGCACTTTGTATTACAACAGTAATACCCCAGGCACTTTGTATTACAACAGTAATACCCCAGGCACTTTGTATTACAACAGTAATACCCCAGGCATTTTGTATTACAACAGTAATAGCAAAAAGTTTCTAGCTGTACATACCCCTAAATTTAATGTAATCGTCTGTCCTTCTTTAAAGCCCAGATCAAGTTTGGGGCCAACATCAACTGTTTTTGCTATCTTTTCTTCTTCTGCCTCCTGTTTCAGCCACCTAATAAAGGACAAGAAATTGTTGTTGAGTTCATTTAAACTTTCATGATACTATATTTAGTTAGAAAAGGTCATATGTAATCTAAAATATGAGCTAAGAGTTAAGATATACCAAGTATAAGTCCTAGTTACTTCTTAGTTTTTAGTTAGTAGTTACAAGATAGCTTAAAGAACTAGAAATTAGCATGTTGGTCATAATGTTATTGTATCTTTCTCCTCTACTTGTTATTTAAGGCATAATTTAAATCTACAATTGAATAGCAAATACTAAAAAGAACGTTCAGAAGCTAGATTGTCTATATTATCTATTAGTAGATCTAGTATTAAATGATACTTGTAAATTTTGTAAGTAAACAAGGAAACTGAATCGTGTGCCAAAGGGAGATAATTGTTTCCCTGCTCTGTTTTCTTCAATTCGATTTATTAGTTTTCTTTATTAATTTTTCTTTTAAAAAAATGCGGAACAAACTTAGACTAAAACTGGATGGCGAAACAGGACATGATTATTTGTAAAAAAAAAAAAAGCTGACCAATTCCGCTTTGGGCGGGATGGTAGGCATGCCTGGAACATGTTCCTAGTGACTGCTTGCCTTGTCTAATGCACCTGAACTATGAATTGTACATTCAATTCCCCTTAGTAATATAAGGAAAAAGTAAGTGATAAAAAAAAATAAAACTTGTTCAAGAACTTGTTCAAGCTACTATTGAAATATTTTAACATTTTAATTATATTTTTACTAAAAAAGTTTTTATGTTTTTTTAAGTTAGATTTTTTAGCCTATTTGTAATTATTACCCTATTTTTAATTAATTAACCTATTTTGTTTACAAAATAACAAACCTACACCAATTTTCCATTTTTTAACTTTGCTTATGCATGTAGTGATTTTTCAAAAGTGTTTAAAAAATGTGCTGTCATTGCACTTGCCTGTATGTCAAATAAAATGTCTGGTCAGTAAAGGGTTAGGTAGCTTAAAGGTTTCTCTAACAAAACAGATCAGTGATGGAAACATAACAAAACCAAAAACTTTTTTAAAAACTTGCTTAAAATGATCTTGAATAGAGACATTGAGGTCAAAAGAGTCGGCTCTGTCGTGGAATCCAATCCCAATAAAAGCGCTTCTCCCTGAAAAAATTGATATAAGTTCATATCAATACTAAACAAACACTGGTATTTATTTTTTTAAAAACCTCACAAAGAATTGTGCTGAAACAAAAAATAAAAACCTTACAAAGAATTGTGCTGAAACAAAAAATAAAGCCTACCACTGTCATCCTTAATCCGTATGACGAAGTAGCGACTGGAATCCATCACAGGTTCAATAGCAATCCCAGGATATGAGTCCACAGGGCATTGGGCAAATAATTCTCCTTTTAAAAGGAGAATTCAATATGAAATTAGTTTTCAAATGTGTTTCATCAATTAATTAGAGTTGAGAGCATATTTTTCTTTAAAAAATGAAAGCAATTAACAGAACAGTAACAGTGTTTGATGTCTAAATACAGAAACAACTAGCAATATTGACTAATGCAACTACTATGGCTTGCTGAACAGTGAACAATTTGACTAACAACATGACCAACCACCAACTGGTACAGAACATACTAAACTACTACAGGGTTGTACCATTATTTTTATCCTCCAATTTTATTAAGAGATCTTTGCCTTTAGAGACAACCCTTAATCGACCAGTCCACTCAGGGTTTTCAAGCTTCCATTCATCGGCTCTATGGAAAAAGGGCTGGACATATGACTTATATTACTGAAAATAATACTTATTTCATATTATATAGGCTATTCTAAAAACAGTAAATAAAACAAAATAAAATACTACTAGGCCATAGACCTAACCAGCTATCAGGAGTTAGAAAGATCTTAATTTAATGTGTATTCTGCTGTTTAAGGCTTAAGGTTTTTAGTTATTAAAGTAAATTTATATTCATGAATTTAAATTTAATGAACTCTGAAAACTTCTGTTATTAAATTACAAAACTAAATTTTTGCCATTTCTCTCTACTCCTGGGAGTCTAGCAGCACTCTGAATGTTGGTAAAATGTGAGACACGGAACAGCAAGGCAGTAAACTGCGAGAAGAAAATGCAAGACATACCTACGGAATCACTGGTAAATAGCAAGATACAATTTGTGAGATTTTTTTTTTCATGCTTTTGGTGGTTTGTTTTTTCTCTAAATGCGTGAGAAGAAAAGTTATCCACGAGTGTTGTAATGTATGTTGTTCTTTTTGTTTTGATGATATGCTCCCCAGTCTGTGTCTGCAAGTTTCCTCATTAGTGCAAGTCATTGGATTCCTTTACTTTGATTTACTTTCTCCAGGTGAGTCGAGTATCAAAAGTGACAAATGTTAGCAAATTGACAAAGTGTAGAGCATTGGATTGAGAATAATGACAGGGGCAATGAAAACCACACTGATAAAAGCAATGGAGGAAACAGCTGCTCTAAGCTCAATGGAAGAAAGAAGAGAATAAAAAATCCTCACACTATACACAAAACCGGAGGCACTGGAAAATCATATTCTAAAGCAGAAACTACCAGAGGCCCAACTCATCAAACAGACTTCAAAGAACAAGTTTTATAAAAGAAGCCAAAAGTACAACAATGATGCATGAGATAGAAAACTTCATTCCTGAAACAGTCAAAACTCAAAACTTCATTCCTGAAACAGTCAAAACTCAAAACTTCATTCCCGAAACAGTCAAAACTCAAAACTTCATTCCTGAAACAGTCAAAACTCAAAACCTATCCCTGCCGTGGAAAGCTCACCGTACATTAACCATCAGATACCATAGAAAAAAATCAGACTATGATCAAGAAGAATTAAATTTATCTTAAGTTATAATAACTTATTATAACAATACAAACAAAACGTCTTTGAAATCTTCATCAAAATTGATTGAAAATCAGTCTAATCTTTGTATTTTACCCTCACCCGGCATAAGTATTGGGTAAGATGCAGACAAAATGTTTTGTACCCTGCTCGCAATTTTACCACCTTGCTATATTTCTTTTTGCATCTCGCAACTGACCAACACCTCAGCTCTTTTCAGTACTCATTCTAAACTAAACTCTTCTTAGCACTAGCTTGATCTAATATTGGAGTAGATGTAATGTTAAATGTAGATTTAAATTGGCTAGAGAGCAGAGAGTGATGCAGTGTAAATTAACTTTTATTTACAACTACTTACTAGATCTAGATGTGGTCTACTCACTCTAGATCTAGATGAATACTGTCTAGTCTAGAATAGCCTAAGAATTAAGATTCTCTACATTCTAAGACTTAAGACCATTCTACTATTAATATTTCTACTCATTCTAGAATACTTATTATTTAGGCCTATTATAATTATCATTATATAATATATTAGCTAGATTTTTAGATCTACACTACACAAGTACAATGTGTTGAAAGTTGAAAGCAAAAAGAAGAGATGGACTTACAATACTTATTTTGGTAATCTATCGTTTTAGGTACGTAAAATCGCCCGCGGCTAGTAATGTACGAAAAAGTTACCTCATTGTCAAGGCTTTAATAGAAGTATACTGTGATATATTTGTGTCAAATATTAGGTATAGATAAATGAATAAAAACCTAAATTAGTGGCTAAACATATCAATATAGGCCAGAAATTAACTTTAAACAGCAGTGTTTGCTAGCAAAATTTGCTACATAAACAGCAGCCATTTGTAAAATAGAGTGGCTTCCATCTGAATCTCGCGCTATAAGCTTATAAAAATAAAACTTAAACAAGATGACTGCTATAGTAAATGAACATGGTTGCATCTGTTGGAAACATCGCTAGTGTTCATTTATTACTGAAAAGTTTTAATTCAATTGTTTAAAAACAGATACATAAATCAAAGAAGGAAACATTTTTGTATTTTTCAAAACATAAATCCTCCTCAAAATGTGAAATAATTATTAAAATTTAAGGAGTCACCTGTTTTTCACATTACTAGTCGCGGGCGATTTTACGTACCTAAAACGATAGATTACCCTTATTTTTTACTTACTCATACTCTTACTCAGTCTTACTGACTGCACACTGAACTAACTTACTAACACTTATTATTTTATTAACACTAACACTAGAATTCACTAGATCTAGACTCCGAGTCTAGACTACTAACTCTGTCTAACACTGACTAACACTATACTATACTAAGACTATACTTAGTACGAAGTGTCTACTCGGAAGAAGATTTTTCTCCCCAACGTCTCCACTTAGTCGGCAAAAGATAGCTCTGCGCATGGACCTATGGCTAGGGTTAGAATGAGGGGTATGGTTAAGGTTTGGGATAGGGTTAGGGATAGGGCTAGGGTTAGGATTAGGGCTAGGGTTAGGATTAGGGATAGGGTTAAGGGTAGGATTAGGGTTGGTGTTGGGGTTCTGCAGTTGTAAACACACGCATGCGCAGTACCATCGAAAACATCGCCGCTAAGGCAAGTCGTAGTTTCTCTCCATTGCGCATGCGTAACGCATGCGTATCTTATTCCGGCTAGAATCGGCCTACTTAGTATACTATGTTACACTAAGCTAACAGTGGCTAACACACTTTGACAGTCACTCTGTCTGACTGTCACTAGTCTAGATCTAACGTCTAACACCAAGTTGAGTAAGTTCACTCTGACACTGACAGACTAAAGTCTAAAACTCACGCTTAGTTCTTAGGCTACTTCTTTAATTTGCTTTTATTTTTTATGTGGTTTCATTGCCAAAATGTAATAAAAATATCAAAATGTGATAATGTATTTCTATACCTGTAGCCTCTATTTGATGGGCGAGGGGGAATTCTGTAAACAAGTACTTCATTTTTAACACACAATACGCGTTCGTAGGCGGTGTCTGCCATTATTATGAAATTGCCAGATTTTATGATTAAAACATTCGGTTAGTGTAAATATCCAAAAGTAATGGATAAATTGGATAACCCTTTCACACCTCTGATGTCATCGTAGTTCTCCATATGTAAAAGTATGAACTAACTTACATAAATAAAATTTTTAGAGACATACATTTTTAAATGATATTTATTATTTTTATTCCTCCTCATTTTGATATTTAAAAGAAAATCAATATTTTAAAAATCAGATCGCTTTCTATTTGCTTCGAATCCCTCAAATTTATTCAATTTTTTGCTTGGTTAAGGTGCACGTTTTAAAGGGCTCCTTAATATATGATATCGCTCCAGAGGCGTCGCGAGGCGGGGGCGAAGGTGCGGACCGCACCGGGTGACACCATTTAGGGGGTGACACCAAGACGAAAAAATCGCAAGATATATAGAATGAATATGTTTTTTGCCAGTTCAATGCTGGGGCGCCGACAGAACCGCCTGATTCAACTTAGTAAACGGCTATAGTACGCCAACGTATTCATAGTCTTTTGCACTCACTTAAACGAACGTAGGTGACATAGCTAACACGGGGAGGTTCGGAGCGCCAAATAGCACCCTGTCGGGGCGCCGGAGGATGCCAGGATTCGATTCAGTTAAAGAATATAGTAACTATTCTTATCCATAGTCTATCACACGAAATTATGCATCATAACGCTCACATGATAGCCCAGGGCGCCAAATCGAACCCTGCCGGACGCGCCTGATTCAATTTAGTGAACGATTATAATACCCCAAGCTTATCCGCACACGGAAAGATAGAAGTAAACATAGAGGGTATTTAGGAGCTGACTTCTTAACTGTTATAATTGATAAAAAAAATAATTAGTAAACAGTACGTTCAGTGTATAAAATAAATAAAAGGCAGTATTTAAAATGCCTACAACATTGCAATTGATCGATCCACGCTAATAATGTAATTATTTTTTTCCCCAAAAACAGTAACAAAAAAGTACATTTTTCTCCACCAAGGTATTTTTTTTAAAAAGGCGAGTAATTGTGTTTTCCTAATTTATTAAGGGACGTAATGAGCGCTAAAGAAGTAAATGTAAATAATTTTCAGACACAATAACAATTTTTGTGAAAAGTGATACATTTTTAAAAATTTTGTTTGATGGACATGCCGACAATTATCACTTTAAGATTGAAAAAGAAAATTGTTTTGCAACACCTTCAATATTAATTTTTTAAATAATTAATTTAGATGACAAGCACTTTAGATGTATAACACAATGACGATGAAGTCTTTTTATTTTCTTATATATATTCGTAATCCGCTGTCCGCTATATACATACATACATACATATTTGAACTTTATATATTAGATTATATAATACATACACACTTACGTGCATAAGTCACGGTCCAAAACAGGGTTTTCGCAAAGGGCCAGGGCATAAAAGCTTTGACGTACATAGGTATAATAAGCCTATCTATAAATATTTTAGAGATTGGAGTAAACATTTTCTAACATTTTCAACACACCTCAGTTACTCAGGCTCCCCCTCCTACTCCCCCCCCCCCCCCTAATAGTGTTAAAACTAGATGTACTAGCCAAAATACATGGGAGATTCTTATATTAAAGACACATCTATTTATTTATATTTTAGTGCAAATGTATAGATCTAAGTTTGTTCTATTTTTATTAACATTTAAAGAATGTATACAATTGAATAAGGTGTTTATTATTTTATCTAGAATAGAAAGAACAACAAACAACTAAAACTTAACTATAAAACTAGAAATTATAGACGCATGCGCAGCGAATACATCTAGATCTACAACTTCTTTTAATAATGTAAACAGAAACAGTGTAGGCCGTGGCCTATATTATTATCGCTTTTTTACTTAGGCTTAATGCTTTGGTATTCTATTCTATAATTCTAGATTAAGATCTAGTCTAGGTTTCTAGAACTAGTCTATCTAGTTTTAGATCTAGATCTAGATCTTGATATAATAATTTTAAATGTATGATGCAGATAAGATTGAGAGTGTGGTTTGAGTACTTCAAGTGACAAGTTACACTCACAAATGAAGTAGTTTGAAGTAAGATCTAGATTCGGATGATTATAGATACCAGTGTCCGATAATGGAATCATCTTTAAAATAGGGGTGTTGGGTTGTTAGTAGTATTGTAATCTCGACTCATTTTATGGTTAGAAATTAGGGTTAGGCGTATGGTTGGACCAGGGTTTGGGTTAGGGACAGGGTTAGCATTTGACATTAGCCAGCCATGTGTGTATTTAGTTAACTACCAGTAACCTAACACCCCTTTTTTTAAAGAAGATTCCATTATCAGACACAGGTGTAAACATTCTCCCCTAGATTCTGGGGTAATCTATAAAATGCAATAAATCTATCGTTTTGTTTTGGGTACGTAAAATTTATCGCCCGCGACTAGATCTAGTAATGTGAAAAACAGGTGACTCCTAAAATTTTAATAATCATTTCACATTTTGAGGAGGATTTATGTTTTTTAAAATCATCATGCAAAAATGTTTCCTTGTTTCATTTTTCATTTCGAAGTGTCTACTCATGCAATAAATCTATCGTTTTGTTTTGGGTACGTAAAATTTATCGCCCGCGACTAGATCTAGTAACGTGAAAAACAGGTGACTCCTAAAATTTTAATAATTATTTCACATTTTGAGGAGGATTTATGTTTTTTAAAATCATCATGCAAAAATGTTTCCTTGTTTCATTTTTCATTTCGAAATGTCTACTTGGAAGAAGATTTTTCTCGCCGTCTCCACTTAGTCGGCAAAAGATAGCTCTGCGCATGCGCAGTGACCTATGGCTAGGGTTAGCGCTAGAATGAGGGTTAGGGGTAGGATTAGGGATAGGGTTAGGGATAGGATTAGGGCTAGGGTTAGGGATAGGGTTAGGATTAGGATTAGGGATAGGGTTAAGGATAGTGTTAGGGTTAGGGATATGGTTAAGGATAGGATTAGGGTTGCTGTTAGGGTTCTGCGGTTGTAAACACACGCATGCGCAGTACCATCGAAAACATCGCCGCTAAGGCAAGTCGTAGTTTCTCTCCATTGCGCATGCGTATCGCATGCGTATCTTACTCCGGCTAGAATCGGCCTTTTCATTTATGTACCTGTTTTTAAACAATTGAATTAAAACTTGGTAATCTATCGGTTTAGGTACGTAAAATCGCCCGCGACTAGTACAGGGGCGGAACTACAGTGCCGCCAGACCCCGGGGGGCCCGGGCCGTTTTGGGGCCCGCTGCCGACCATAATCAGTTATTTTTTACAGTTAAAAAAAACTCTTGCATTTTTGACTTGATGGTTGTTTTTTAAAAAGAATACTGTAGCTGTGGTTTTATTATCTTTATTCTATAGACACCATCCTGAGTCCTCTTTCTCCTACAATCAAACACACATTGTTGTCGGTAAAATTCTTTTGAAAATAAATGAATCGCGTGAAAGATACACAAACGTTCAAACCACTTCCATGACTTATTTCCCTTTTTTAAATAGTCAAATATGTGTGCTCTCAAGCACCTTTTAATAGATTTGCACTAAACAAATTAAAAAGCAATTACTTCTCTGAATTATTATTTAAAAAAAAATACATAATAGAATATGGCAAAGCATAAACAGGAAATGTATTTAAAACTAATAATATAAATACGAAAAAAACATGAAAATAAACATAACGTGAGAAACCATTGTACATACAAAGCTTTCATGCTTCATATTCTTTTGACCGACTTACTTACAGGAAGCAGTTTCTTCCAGGCATCTCAAAATTTTTTTACCCCCCCCCCCCCCCCCCGAACGAAATGAAATTTATATAATTTATATAGAAAATATATACTTTTACCAGTGTCCGCCCCCCGAAGAAAGTCTACCGCCCCCCCCAAAATTTCAAGTGCTCCCCCGGAGAAAAATGTCTGGAAGAAACACTGACAGGAAGCATTATAGCAAACATATAATTTATAAAAAATAGAGATTTTCAAAATAGACTAATAAGCACTCACAAAAATGACATGTTGTTGTAACTTGTTTTAAATTTTTAAAAAGAAGGTATTTTAAATTTTTTTTAAAAACTCGAACAAGCCCGAAATGAGTACTCTATATATTGTTATTTTCGTATTTTGTATAAATATATATATATATATAGGCCTATATATATATATATATATATATATATATATATATATATATATATATATATATATATATATATATATATATATATATATATATATATATATATATATATATATATATATATATATATATATATATATATATATATATATATATATATATATATATATATGGGGCCCAAAAAATTTATTTGCGGGGTGGCCCTTTTTTTCTAGTTCCGCCACTGGACTAGTAATGTGAAAAACCGGTGACTCCTTACATTTTAATGATTATTTCACATTTTGAGGAGGATTTATGTTTTGAAAAATACAAAAATGTTTCCTTGTTTCATTTATGTACCTGTTTTTAAACATTTGAATTAAAACTTTTCAGTAATAAATGAACACCAGCGATGTTTCCAACAGATGCAACCATGCTCATTTACTATAGCAGCGATCTTGTTAAAGTTGTATTTTTATAAGCTTATAGCGCGAGATTCAGGGGGAAGCCACTCTATTTTACAAATGGCTGCTGTTTATATAGCAAATCTTGCTCTCAGACACTGCTGTTTAAAGTTAATTTCTGGCCTATATCGATATATTTAGCCATTGATTTAGGTTTATTATTCATTTACCTATAATATTTGACACAAACATATGACAATAAACTTCTATTAAAGCCTTGACAATGAGGTAACGTTTTCGTACATTAATAGAAATAGCCGCAAGCGATTTTACGTACCCAAAACGATAGATTACCGATTCTGGATCTCCTATACTATATTAGTATATTTAAGTATATTTTATTATTATTTTTTATTTAGACCTAATTAATAATTTAGACTCTTCTAGTATTTAAATTTGCTAATGAAAAAAAGAAAATTATTATTAAATTAATATTATTTATTTAGGCCTTGTATTAAGTAGATCTATTATCTAATAGATCTAATAATATCTTACATTTAGAATTAGATCTAGAGATTTTCTATCTCATCTCTGAACTCTGAGTCCATCTCTCTGTGTACTCAACAAGCGGACAACCAATGTGAGTTGTTTCTTAGCTTAGGCTGACATGAGCCTCAGTCTCATTAATTCATTCTATTTAGCCTATATAGTATCTCAGGCCTAGGCCTTATTATTATTAAAATATTATTTATCAAAATGACTAGGCCTAGAAGGAAAAAGATATTTCTGCATGCGCAGTGACCTTAATAATTATTAATAGCTGCGCTAGGGTTAGGGTTCTGCTGTTTGTTTGTAAACACCCGCATGCTCAGTACCATTGAAAATATCGTAGCGAATGAAGGTAATAGTTTCTCACCATTGCACATACGTATCCATTTCCGGCTAGAATCTGCCCTTATTTATTTATTTTTGACAAGAGATCTAGAAGTAAAGTAAGACACTGACTGACAGTAGTTACTCTAGTTAAAGTACTAAGTAGTAGTAAGGGCCCTTCTCCTTAGGCCTAGTAGTAGTATTAGGCTAATACTAGTATTACTAGTAATAATAGTATTCAGAGGCGTCACAAGGCAGGGGGCTGGGGAGTGCGGACCGCAACTGGTGACGCCATTTAGGGGGTGACACCATGGCGAAAAATTGCAAAATATATAGAAGAAAAACGCTTTTTGCCAGTTCAATTAATGATTAATAAGAGTTTATCCACCTGTGCAAAATGTAGAGAGGAATAAAGGCTTACTAAGTATTTTGAATAACACATAAGTTGATCAATGACAAGAAAGGGGGTGACACCAAAATATGATGACTTACAATGAAATTGATGCTTTTTCCATATGAATGTGAATAGGTGGATTGTGCGCACAAATTAACACCATTAGTCAAATAGGGAAGGGGATGTCACCAATTGCAACTATATATATATATATATATATATATATATATATATATATATATATATATATATATATATATATATATATATATATATATATATATATATATATATATATATATATATATTATAGGCCCTATATATATATATATATATATATATATATATATATATATATATATATATATATATATATATATATATGTAACGAGCGAACAGTTACCCTGCTCGCAACGCCACATGTTACGAGACTATTTGCCTGTAGTGCCAAATGTAACGAGTTTAACCACTCATGCTACACAACATCGACTACAGTAGAAAGACTCGAAGATGCAGGTTCGCTATTGATCCTTTTATTACATGAATCAAGAAATGCTTCAATATAACACAATGAATCAACAGGAATGCTTCACAATAATAGTCTGAATCAACTGACCCCTAACAGTCCTCACTAGGCTTCATATAACTGAATCCACATGTCTATTGTCCTTCTTAACACAATATAACCAACTTGATATGTCACACAGACTGACTGATCTAAAGCGAGCGATGAAGAGAGCGAGCGATCGAAAAGGGAAGAGAGCGAGTTCAGTCGTCCCCTCCTATTTATCCCTTGTATTCGTACTCGTCCTCGTACTTGTATTCCTCCGTAATCGATACTTGTACTCGATGTCTCCGACTACTAGTTGCGCAGTTCTAACGTACAGTCCGTTTAATAAACATCTGCATCCTATCAATCAAAGTTGACAGGCCGTCTGAATCCCCTCGTACCGTTTCCCAAAATAGCACGCGTTGGCTTTGAGATTGTTATCAGTCCGATCTAATAAGCCACCTGCTATCAGTTGCATCAGACTGTAATACTGCGTCTCGGCTTATCGTTCGTTATCAGTTGCATCAGATTTGTAACTAGTAGCTAGGCCTACCCTAGTTACATCCACCCCTGCCTTTTTTTGTGTGTTTTCAACCACAAACAACGCCTGGCAGGTGCACTCCTCCAAAGTCAATCGCACAATCGTAAAAAATTTTTATTGTTCCACTCACTGTCCACGTCGTCCCATTCGTATACGATTGACAGTTATACCTATTTCACATATCAACTGTGTCTACATCATCTTCCTGAGACACAAAACAGTTCTAGAATTCACATCCACCCTTTCCATTTGGTGCCTTCACCAGTTCACTTTTATACCTTTTTTTAACAGTCTGTTCTCATACCAGCGCGACCATGAAAGACTTGATGGTTGCTGACAAAAAATTTCGTCTTCCTTCTGTTCCTCAAACTTCTCCGCGGACCACTTATCTGATGGTCTACTGTCTCTCTGCTTCTGGAAGGAACGGGATCCTCTTTGTTGCCGTTATCCTCCACTTGTGTATCGCGGTTGTTCTGTTGATGGTGATATGGTTCCGGGATGGGTATGTGAATTTCCGTTGTAACTTCCGGTTCCCTAATTGTCTTGGATTTCCTTGTGTGTAACTGCTCTTCTTGCCTATTCCAATATTTCTTTAATTGAGCAATATTCGCCCACCGATCCGGTTTGGCGTGATCGATGGGTCTTATCTTAAAGGGGCCACCTGCTACTTTAGGCATCTCCACGACTTGCCATATCTCCTGTCCCCAGAGATCGTGGATTTTGTTTCTGCCTAACGGGTGGCTACGCAGTAATACCCTGTCATTCAGTTTGAGTGGCGGGTCCTTTGTCTGTACCGGCGGTTCCCTTCGCCGTGCTTCATGTTCTAGTCTTTCCTGTACTACCCTGTACATTTCTCTAATTTTTCTCATATGTTCATTAACATATTCCAGTGCGGTATATGAGCCAGTCATACTCTCCCTTTTTCCTAGGAACAAATCAAGAGGGAGTCGAGCCTCCCGTCCGAACAGCAACATGTGTGGCGCAAAGCCGGTTGTGGCATGGGGTGTGCAGTTGTATAGATATACCAACTCTGGGAGAAAATCAGGCCAACGTTTTTTCTGTTCAGGTTCTAGCGTACGCAGCAAATCATGCATGCTGCGGTTGAACCGTTCACACTGTCCGTTTCCTTTCGGATTAAATGTGGTTGTTCTAGATTTGTTGATCCCGTAGTGGCTGCACAGTTGGTTAATTACTTCTGACTCGAAAGCCCTTCCTTGGTCAGAGTGTAATTGTCTTGGTATGCCATATTTGATGAACCAATGTTCTATTAAGACCTTTGCCACTGTTTTGGCAGTCTGATCTCGTGTGGGCACCGCCACAGTCCATTTGGTGAATACATCAGTCATTACCAACACATGTTCCGTCCCATCCGATGATTGCTCCAACGACGTAAAGTCCATAGCCACAATCTCTAGTGGTTTTGTCGCTAGTAGGTGTCCTGATGGCTGTCTCATTTTGACAACTGGCATTTTCGCATGCTGACACCTCACACAAGCCTCACAATGGCGTTTGACCTCCATTTCCATATTGGGCCAGTAACACCTCCGTCGTAAAATTTTGTGCGTCCTGTCCTGACCCTGGTGTCCTGCCCTGTCATGTGCCAACCTTAGCACTTCTTCTCGTAATTGTCCAGGCACCACCACCTGGTGTATTGTCCCATCAATTTGGTCATGAATTCTCCGCATGAGAACACCATCCTCTATACTGAGACGGTCCCACTGACTCAGTATTTTCTTTGTTTCTCGACCAAATTGTTCTCTTTCCCTTCTTCCTGGGAATTTTTGTTCCTGGACGTATTTCAATAGCGGTTGTAAGCCACTATCCGTTCTCTGGGCATCTCTTATCTTTTTGTGATTAAGGCAATTAAAATCACTACTGTCCATATGTCCGGGCTCTGTGGATATGTGCTCCACCCCGGTCTGCCCGTTCTGCCTCACTTGCACCCCGTGAGGGATATCTGTTGACGCTCTGACCTCACATATTCCTGTCAGCGTTTCTTCCTCATCGCCCGGTCTCTCGTAAGGATTCCTTGATAAGGCGTCCGCATTGCCATTGGACCGCCCCGGGCGAAATTTTATCTCCAGGTCAAAGAGTGCCAATTCTGCTGCCCATCGCTGTTCGATGGATCCCAACTTTGCTGTCTTTAGGTGACTCAGGGGGTTATTGTCAGTGTATACCACACATTTAGCACCTAATAGATAGTCCCTGAGTTTTTCCGTCACAGCCCATTTTAATGTCAAAAGTTCTAGTTTCATGGCGCTGTAATTTGTCATGTTCTTCTCTGATTCCTTCAGAGCTCGACTGGCATAAGCAATAACCCTGAAACCTTGCTTTTGTTGTTGTGATAGCACAGCTCCCAGACCTTTAGAGCTGGCGTCAATTTCTAGCCGAAATGGTTTGTCAAAGTCTGCGTATCCCAATATCGGCGCCTCTGTCAAAGCCTTTTTCAAGAGCTTAAACGAGTTCAGGCATTCATCAGTCCATAATTCACCTATCCGGTGTGTTTTACCTTTCTTTTTCTCCTTACTGTGTTTCTTTGTCATTTTGTTTACCAAGTCATGCAATGGTGCGGCAATTTTTGCAAAACCAGGTACAAATTTTCTATAATAGGAAGCAAAACCCAAGAATGACCTGACCTCTACCGTAGTTGTTGGTTGTTTCCATTCTTTAACAGCTGCAATTTTATCTGGGTCAGTGGCGATGCCATCCGACGAAATCACATAACCCAAAAAATGTACCGATTTCAGACCAAAGCAGCATTTGTCTGGGTTCAGCTTTACTCCTATCTCCCTAAGACGGAGAAACACTTGTTCTAATCTTTTTAGATGGTCCTCCCAAGTTTTTGAGTAAACTAGAATATCATCCAAGTACACCAACATTATTTGAAATAGAAAGTCACTCATAGCACTCTGCATTACTCGCTGGAATGTAGCAGGTGCATTAGTTAGACCAAACGGCATACGGGTCCACTCGTACAGTCCCAGTGGAGAAATAAATGCAGTTTTATGTTGATCGTTGGGGTGCATGGCCACTTGGTGGTAGCCGCTAGCCAAATCCAAGGTAGAAAAAAATCTTGCTCCCCCCAACGCATCAAGACATTCATCAATACGAGGCAAGGGGAATGCATCCCTTCTTGTGATATTGTTCAATTTCCGGTAATCACAACACAGTCTTATCTCCCCTGACTTCTTTTTTACCACTACTATCGGTGCCGCATACGGGCTTGTACTGGTTGTAATAATTCCCTTTTTTAGTAGATCATTCAGGTGTGCTTTCACCGCCGAGTAGTGACTTGGTGGTAATCTTCGGTAGGGTTGCGCCACCGGCTTGTCTTGTAGTAAGGGTATCTGGTGTTTGATTACTTCCGTGTACCCCAAATCACCCTCATACGAGGCAAATATATCACTGTATTTATTCAGCAATTCATTTAGTTTTGGGTCCTCAGTTTCCGGGAATGTATATGATCGGCCATCCTCTTTCTTCCCCTCGGCCGTCACATTGACCGACCTAATTGTTACTTCATTACTGCTGGTATTGATCAGTTCGATGTACTGTGCCGACCTTTGTACCTCGACGTTCTGTGGTACTCCTACCAGAGTGTTAGGCGGTATAAAAATTTCCTCATCCAAAACATTTGCTACCAACCCTTGAACTAGTCCGTTTTCCGCTGATGTGTATGTCCGCAGTAACACGACGCCTGCCCTCAGTGCGGCGCCACATGGTTCTATCATCACATCACCATTCACGCTTCTATCACCAATTTGTAATGTGATTGCCTTGACCGTGTTTGCCGGGACTGCTGTCCTTCCTCTGGTCTTGGCAAACCTGGCCAACTTGGATCCCCGACCAGGTGTGGTCGATCCGACAATATTTGTAAGAAATTCTGGCAACTGGCCAAGAATATTCATGCCCAATAGGCAAGGTATATTTGACACATTTGTCTCTAGGTTGTGTTTCGTAACGAACACCCCAACCTGCTTCAACCTATGTCCCGACACCACGACATCTGCCAGAAAATAACCACAGTATGGAATGGTTAGTCCATTAGCTGCCGTCAGGCGCATGCATGTGTCAGACCTCAACCTATGGTCTTTTCCTTTCATCCATTTGGTGTAAAAATTTTCCGTGATTGTCGTCACCTGGGAGCCTGTATCCACAATTGCCTTCACCGCGATGTCCCCAATCGTAATCACCATTTCTGGACAGACTCCCATCATTTTGTTTCTTGGGCCATAACCTCGCCCCTCTGTAGCCTGGCCCTGCCTTACAGAGGACGACCGTTTCCCTGGCAGTACCGTGCCATATGTCCGGGTTGTGAACAGGACAAGCAAATTGGTCGACCGTCGGCCGTCCATTGAAGTAATGGCTTGGCAGGACGCGGCCGTCCAACCTGTCTCTGTTTTGTCCCGTTCTTTTCCTGATTCTCAGCTGTTGACCTGCTTTCTAACCTCTCCAAACGTTGGTCAACCTTATCTAGGTGGGCCAACAGTTGAGCCATCATGGTCTCCATCGTGTCGGCCCCTGTGGGTGGGGATTGTTTCTGTTCCGGCACAGAGACTTTGTCCACCGAACAGTTCGATTGGTCCTCATCCTCGGACCTGCGGATCGCTGAGTTCCTGACCTGAAGGAAGGTCAACTGCGGGTCTTTGTGGACCTCCTCTTTCAACTCTCTCCTTAAGATCGGGGTTGCTAGCCCCTCGATGAAATGGTCCCTCAGTAGGCGCACATCAATGTCAGGTGTTTTGCCCTTTACCGAATCAAAGGCCCTGTTCAACCGGTGTGAGTACTCCATCACACTCTCCGCCATTCTCTGCCTTAAGCCTACGAACCCTGACAGCAGTTGCGATCCCGACCGTCTCTCCCCAAAGGTCTCCATAATCAGATCCAGCACCTTATCTGGATCTGATTGGATGGTTTTATCGTGGCATTTGACCTCTGCCCTAACCGTCTCTCCTATACTGCCCATCAGCAGTCTTAATCTTTCCTCTGGTGACATGCCTCTCGAGGCCCAGGCCGCTTTGACCTCCTCACTGAACCTGTTGGTTAAAGTTGGATCACCGTCCCCGTAAAATTTGTTAATGTGGGACTCTCTGGGTAGGACCACTATATGGGTCTGCTTCTCGTCCAGAGTAGACATTTTATTCCGTAAGTAACAAAAATAGAGTTCTTTCTTACCGTGTGTGTATGAAAAATTTTTCTCGTTCCTCAATTTTCACAGTTCCTGAATGTCCGAATTCACACACACACAAAACACAGTTATGCACAAGGTTGACTATGGGTGCCTAAAGCGGCAAGTCTAGTTGAATTCATCCTGTCCGACGACGCCAATTGTAACGAGCGAACAGTTACCCTGCTCGCAACGCCACATGTTACGAGACTATTTGCCTGTAGTGCCAAATGTAACGAGTTTAACCACTCATGCTACACAACATCGACTACAGTAGAAAGACTCGAAGATGCAGGTTCGCTATTGATCCTTTTATTACATGAATCAAGAAATGCTTCAATATAACACAATGAATCAACAGGAATGCTTCACAATAATAGTCTGAATCAACTGACCCCTAACAGTCCTCACTAGGCTTCATATAACTGAATCCACATGTCTATTGTCCTTCTTAACACAATATAACCAACTTGATATGTCACACAGACTGACTGATCTAAAGCGAGCGATGAAGAGAGCGAGCGATCGAAAAGGGAAGAGAGCGAGTTCAGTCGTCCCCTCCTATTTATCCCTTGTATTCGTACTCGTCCTCGTACTTGTATTCCTCCGTAATCGATACTTGTACTCGATGTCTCCGACTACTAGTTGCGCAGTTCTAACGTACAGTCCGTTTAATAAACATCTGCATCCTATCAATCAAAGTTGACAGGCCGTCTGAATCCCCTCGTACCGTTTCCCAAAATAGCACGCGTTGGCTTTGAGATTGTTATCAGTCCGATCTAATAAGCCACCTGCTATCAGTTGCATCAGACTGTAATACTGCGTCTCGGCTTATCGTTCGTTATCAGTTGCATCAGATTTGTAACTAGTAGCTAGGCCTACCCTAGTTACATATATAAAACAGGATTTTGGGGGGGGGTGACAACATGAGGTCCCGCACCGGGTGACACCCGACCTAGTGACGCCACTGATACTATTACTAATAATTAGTAAACTACTAAGGTGATGCACAATTATTTCTTATAAAATTATAAAATTACTATTAAGCCCTGATTAATTACTTTAGATTTAGAGTGCAAAATTGATCATTTACATAGCAGATATGAACATAAACTAAACTTAAAAATATATTTAGTGTAAAAATATAACATAATAAAAATATCACCTAAATATAAAAAAACAAAAATATATCTTATTCATCAGTCATGACTAATGCTTTAGTTATTGTAAGATATTATTCCCAGTCATATTTTGCATGAAATGATAGCCCACTAGGAATAGCCGTATACAGTCTTTGGTTTAAAAAACGTCAACTTACCACATCTTTTGTTACAAATTAAATGATTGGATATTTACCTAACTTTTACTATTGTTAAAATTAAATGATTGGATGTTTACCCATCTTTTAATTTTGTCCTTCCACAGAAGCAAGCAGGGGCTGATATTTGAGTTTATTTTGGTACATCCTTTACTCCTAGGTCCCTGATTATGTGTACGTGAATGAGGTACAGACTGTGAGCCTATCATCAACATTGTGTTCTTTAGTCTGAGGGGCTGCTGATACTCCCAGCTGAGGCAAACAAAATGGCCACACTCACCAAACAGGAAATGGAACAGTTAAAAGAAAAGGTCCATTCGGCTGCTAAAGAAGGAATGGCTATTAGTATTTTTGCACTCCTTTGGAATATGGACAAACCAATAGTTAAAGAAATTTTAGACCATCAAACAGAAAGTGATGGTCAGAAAACTACACCCCTTGTGATAGCTGCTAAGCTTGGAGAAACCAAAGTTGTGCAGGTGTTGTTGAGTAACTTTGATGTGAATATTGAGCAAAGATCCACTGTACGTTTTGATGGTTATGTCATCCAGGAAGCTACAGCTTTGTGGTGTGCTGCTGGTGCCGGTCACCTGGATATTGTTGAAGTGCTCATTAAGAATGGAGCTAATGTCAACAATGCCACAGCAACAAACTCAACCCCCCTGAGAGCGGCCTGCTTTGATGGGAGGCTGGACATTGTCAAGTACCTGATAGAGCACGGAGCTGACCTTAACATACCAAACAAATACGACAACACCTGTCTGATGATCTCCTGCTACAAGGGACACACCAAAGTTGTCAGGCACTTGCTGGAGAAGGGAGCTAACCCAGATCTCAAGGCACATTGTGGCGCCACCTCCATTCATTTTGCAGCCGAGTGTGGTCACCTAGAAGTTGTGAAGGAACTGATTCACTTTGGAGCTTCCATGTTGGAAAATGATCTGCATATGACCCCCTTAATGGTGGCAGCTGAGTGTGGTAAAGAAGAGATTGTGCACTACTTCCTCAAGCAGCCTGAATGCTCACGCTTAAGTAAAATTGAAGCCCTGGAACTTCTTGGAGCATCATTTGCTAACGACAAAGAAACTTATGATTTGCATAAAACTTATGAGTATCTCAAAGAAGCGATGGCTCTGAGAAATATTGACAAATGTAGTGGAAGTGGAGTTTTAAGGATTCAGAAAGCAAGTTTCCCAGCTGTACCAGCTTATAACAATCATGTGGAGTGTAAATCAATGTATGAACTAGAGATGATCAGAACAAATCGAGATGCATTACATATGGAAGCTCTCACTATTCGAGAAAGAATTCTAGGAGCTAATAACCCTGAAATTCCCCATCCTGTGATATTCCGAGGCGCTGTGTTTGCTGACAATGGAAGGTTTGACAGATGTATTTCCTTATGGATGCATGCTATGGTTTTAAGACAGACAAATAACAGATCTATCAATAAGGATTTGCTGAGGTTTTCCCAGGTTTTCTCACAGATGGTTACATTGAAAGCTGACTTAGTCTATGCAGATGTAGAGCTAGTGTTACAGCATGGCTTGAAAGAAATCGAGTACTTTCTTACAGCACTCAAGAATGATTCCACCTGTGAATCAAAGTCCACAGCCTCAGAGCTGTATCAGTTAAATATTTTATCCATCATTTATCTGGTCACCATAGCATGCAGGGTTGTGCGCTGTGAGGATGAGAACAAACGGCTACACAGGCTAGTTTATTCTTTCCTCAAACTCCGTCCCTCCTTGAAAAATGGCTACTCTCCTCTTCATATAGTCCTGGATCCTGGAATTTGTGTGGACGATTTTCATGTGAACACAATTGTCATCTTTCCTGACAAAACTCTGATGTCAATGCTGCTGACATGTGGGGCAGACATGGATGCGCTGGACAGTGCCAGGAACTCTGCCCTGCATGTCATTACAAATGCCAAGCTGTCAGAAAGCCAGGAGAACCTGCGTCAAGAAATGATCAAAGAGCTGCTCCAACGCGGGGCCCACTGTGATGTGGCCAACAACAAAGGCCAAACCCCTTTCTGCACCGCTGCAGGCCAAACCTTAAACACTCTGATCTACTACAGCAACATCTCACTGAGGTGCTTGGCTGCACGCTGCATCAAAAGAAACAAAATTACCTATACAGATTGCATACCTCAGTGTTTAGAAGCTTTTGTTGACATACATTAATGTGCTTGCAAACTTGCTGGAACTTTTTTTTTTTTGAAATTGTATGCAAACTGTTGCAAAAAATTTGAATGTAATATGTGTATGTGTATTTTAAGTGTAGTTTATGTTGAAATAGATCAACTACTTAATCAAATTTAACATTTTTTACTTTGGTAAATTGTAAACTTTTCTAGATAATTTAACAAGATTTACTTGCTTTGTAACAAACTCTTTCATTGAAACTTTCAGCTTTTATAAAACCTAAAAGCTGCATTTTAAACTACTATGTGGCATGACCTATTTATTCTTCTTCTTCTTCTTCGTTCTTAATTATTAGTGTTGAAGGGGATCGAGATTTATCTGCCAGTGGGTTTGAACTCGAGACTGTTTTCGAATTTATCAACCATGACAATTTTTGCCGACTCGACCACGCCTCCAACACAATTAAGCGTTACGTGTCAACTGGTTATGCGCCATTGAGGCCATTGACTCCGATTTCAGCCTGCTTTTCTTTTTGGATTTGCTTCCATAGCCTTTGTCCAACCAAGAACAAACTACAAGGCAGCAGTTGTTTAATCTTTGGAGTTGTCTCTCCTAGAAGAGTGGCTGTCCCCAGCTAACGAGCCTCATCTGCCCGAGGGTTCGAACTCGAGACTTTTCGGTTTAGCAACCATGAGCTTTACCGACTCGACCACGCCGACCCTAGACCTATTTATGATTTGAAAGGTTTATAGAAATACTAGCATACCCATCGCGCACAAAATTTTGGGTTGATGCAATATTTGAAGAGGATTTTATCAATGTGTTACCCAATCATGTATTTGTAGATGTCTGACCTTGTTTTTTTAAAAATCAAAACAGGCGCTATATTTTTTTGATGCGGGTTTGTCCACACTTTGGCCTTGCATGTACATTAATCACCCTCCATAATAGTGAGGTAGAACACACCTCGGCAACCACCTAGGTGTCATGGGCGTAATGGGGTGCTCTCTGTAGACAACGGTTACACTACTCCAGGGGTGCCATGTACCACCCTATTGATGGGTGCTCTTTAAAATGAATGTAGGCGCCATAGTGCTCATGGCAGACCCTGGGGTGCTATATTGCACCCTATCTGGACGACGCGCTTCATTTGATTTAGTAGCCCATTGTATTCATACTCTTCAAAATGAACATAGGCACCATAGTGCTCACTGGGATTGGGAAGCAAGGGGCACCGCCTCACAGAATTAAAAGAAAATTTATTTGCAGAGACCTTACCTGGAGCATTCTCAACAACTTCCCAAATTTTCATGGCGATCGGATGAAAGGTGTAGTAATGCATAAAGGACAAACACACAAACACACTTTCATTTATATATAAACTAGCGTGCCCATCTCAGCAGTCTCAGAAGAAATTCTGACGCTATATTTTAAGAGGGTTTCATCAATATGTTACCAATCCTATTTTCATAAGACCTTAATCTTATAAGTCGTCCATCGCAATGAGCTGCCACAGCGTCTGGGTGCCATATATTAAATGACTCTAGTAACCTATCGTATCCACAGCATAATATCTCAGGCTATAAAATGAACATATGCACTCACCGGATAGCCCAGGGAGCTAAATTGCACCCTGCCGAGGTGTCGCCCCTGCAAAATTAAAACTGAAAACTTCCAGGAGCATTCTCAACAACTTTCCAAAGTTGGCAATCGGATGATATGAATTCCCCAACTATACATTCCTTAGATTTCTTAAATAACACGTTTCAAAACTGAATTAATTTTTTTAGCTTTCTGTTGTCAGTACAGCTTTATGAGATTGGAGAATCATTATTCTGTTTGTGAATATATTAATTTGCATTCATTAGTTGACAATCCTCATTGCTGGCTAACATAGATATCTCACTAGATAGCCCTAAACATCTCATTAGATTTTAATCATTGGAGTCTTTCATTTCTTTAGCTGCTGTCTTTCATTTGTTAAGTTGTGCACCGATTGTAAACACATCCTGCAAGTGTGTGGGTTTAACAAACAGATAGCTCATACAATTCCATGTTTTATATACATAGATAAAGCTCGTCAGTTCCATTCTTGTACAGACCTGAACTCTGAAAACATGGGAGGTAGATGGCATCACAATAGAAAACCTGTTTTTATTGATGTAGCCCATCAGTGGATGAAATTGTCTAATTTAGTAGTTTAATAGCAATGTCAGCAAGTTGTGTATACAATTTTTTGTTGTAGATGTGTTAGTATTTGCTTTAAGCAGTAGTAATGTACATTTGCCTTGAAATAAAATATTTACATTTCTTTTTCGTACCAATTTCTTATTAACAAAGCTTGAAAATCTCAGATTTGTTTTAGCTGAATCCCATAGGATGCAACACAAGCTCTGCTCAATGCTCATCTGTAATTTATTGAGTGACACACACTGCTAAAATAAGGAGAGAGTCTCTAGACAGACAAAAACACATTCAAACACAGAAGGCATGTGTATATATGAACTATGTATTGGGATGAATGCATTTCTATATCAACAATTGGACCAAATGAATTGACAAATATTTACAGTATAAACAGGGCTCAGAGATAAGGCAGTGCTGGACTCTTAGTTTATTGGGAGTCAGGACTCAAGTCATTGGTCAGAAACAAAAATTGTATTTTAATTTTGAGTAAAAATGATCTTTTTTTAAAATTAGCTTTATTTTTTGTTGGGATTTGATTTGTAATAACTGACACCTAGCAATAGGATGAAAGACAATGCATTTCATGTAAAACTAAGTACATTCAAACACTATTAAAAAAAAACTGGTGTTTTGGTGAATTACAGAAAATAATGCATGCTTTGAATTATAACAGAAATAATGATGCCATTTCTTCCATTAGAAACATTTGAATATTTGATTAAAGATGCTGACCTATAAATGACGTTATATACACCTATCCATCAACACACAAGCCTAAAGGGCTTGGTCAATGGTAAAACAAACTAGTTGAAGTACGATAACATAAAACCACTATCTATTTACATTATCATATTGAACTGGTTTTATTTGCAATCCTGTATGATTACAGTTAATGGGCCATCTCACTCAACTATCATTACAGCTCATAGCAGCCTACATATAAAATCAACTGAAAGAAGCTTGGAGAAGAAAGCATCACATAATGTCCAATATCAAACAGTGCACAAGGCATGGTAAGAAACAGATCAACATCTAGATAGATGTACTCTAAACATGCACCAGGCGCGTAGCACATATTTGATCTAACAATAAATAGAATCAATCTGACATTGACTTAAAAAAATAAAATCAAGTTGATTCAAACATTGAAAAAAATACAACCATAACAAACCCACTTTGCTCAGAACTAAGAAAAATCCATACTATACCAAGCCTAAGAGGATTCTGGAATCAAAAACATGATTAAAGAATTCTTAAGACAATTTATGTGGCAGTGTGTATTACTTTCGTGGCTACCCTAAATGTCTTGAGAGAATCTATGGAGATTACCAGCTACATTAATTTAAACTAGCCCAACAACATTACTTGCCAAGTTAACTGAAACTAGCCCAACATCTTTACCTGTGATATTAATTTAAACTAGCCCAACATTACCTGCTACATTAGTAACAGCTCAGCTTAAATCAATGCCTATTTCACAGCACAATACAAATAAATGGGGCTACTCAATACACTAGTCAGACAGTTGGTGTGTCAGGCATTAGGGGAGGATGGTGGTTGGTGTCAGGCATTAGGGGAGGATGGTGGTTGGTGTCAGGCATTAGGGGAGGATGGTGGTTGGTGTCAGGCATTAGGGGAGGATGGTGGTTGGTGTCAGGCATTAGGGGAGGAAGGTGGTTGGTGACAGGCATTAGGGCAGGATGGTGGTTGGTGTCAGGCATTAGGGGAGGATGGTGGTTGGTGTCAGGCATTAGGGGAGGATGGCGGTTGGTGTCAGGCATTAGGGGAGGATGGCGGTTGGCGTCAGGCATTAGGGGAGGATGGTGGTTGGTGTCAGGCATTAGGGGATGGAACAATGTGGTGACTGCCTGATGTAGGGACTGGCACTAGTAACAGCTAAGGGTCAATCAACCCCCCCCCCCCCACACACAGATAATTTCAAATTATTCTCTAATATAAATAAGATTTCTCCTGCAAGACAAAAATAGAAAACTATAAACCAAGGCAATTTAGCAACCATTAAGGAATCATCAGTGCCATTTGGTAGCACCACAAACTTTTTCATCTGCTTATTTATATCATCATCATTAAATTAGTTTGAGCCACAAAAAAAGTTTACATTACATTAGAAAGCAATCAATTATTTTTTTTAATGGAGGGAAGAACAAGACTAATAAATATCAAATCTGGTGTCAGCAACATAAACAATATTGCTACAACAGCCACCATTTGGGTTGACAACAGCAGCCACACCACCATTTGGGTTGACATCAACAGCCACACCACCATTTGGGTTGACATCAACAGCCACACCACCACTTGGGTTGACATCAACAGCCACACCACCATTTGGGGTTGACAACAACAGCCACACCACCATTTGGGTTGACATCAACAGCCACACCACCACTTGGTTTGACATCAACAGCCACACCACCATTTGGGTTGACATCAACAGCCACACCACCACTTGGGTTGACATCAACAGCCACACCACCATTTGGGTTGACATCAACAGCCACACCACCATTTGGGTTGACATCAACAGCCACACCACCACTTGGGTTGACATCAACAGCCACACCACCATTTGGGTTGACATCAACAGCCACACCACCACTTGGGTTGACATCAACAGCCACACCACCATTTGGGGTTGACAACAACAGCCACACCACCATTTGGGTTGACATCAACAGCCACACCACCACTTGGGTTGACATCAACAGCCACACCACCATTTGGGTTGACATCAACAGCCACACCACCACTTGGGTTGACATCAACAGCCACACCACCATTTGGGTTGACATCAACAGCCACACCACCATTTGGGTTGACATCAACAGCCACACCACCACTTGGGTTGACATCAACAGCCACACCACCACTTGGGTTGACATCAACAGCCACACCACCATTTGGGGTTGACAACAACAGCCACACCACCATTTGGGTTGACATAAACAGCCACACCACCACTTGGGTTGACATCAACAGCCACACCACCATTTGGGTTGACATCAACAGCCACACCACCACTTGGGTTGACATCAACAGCCACACCACCATTTGGGTTGACATCAACAGCCACACCACCATTTGGGTTGACATCAACAGCCACACCACCATTTGGGTTGACATCAACAGCCACACCACCACTTGGGTTGACATCAACAGCCACACCACCATTTGGGTTGACATCAACAGCCACACCACCACTTGGGTTGACATCAACAGCCACACCACCACTTGGGTTGACATCAACAGCCACACCACCATTTGGGGTTGACAACAACAGCCACACCACCATTTGGGTTGACATAAACAGCCACACCACCACTTGGGTTGACATCAACAGCCACACCACCATTTGGGTTGACATCAACAGCCACACCACCACTTGGGTTGACATCAACAGCCACACCACCATTTGGGTTGACATCAACAGCCACACCACCATTTGGGTTGACATCAACAGCCACACCACCACTTGGGTTGACATCAACAGCCACACCACCATTTGGGTTGACATCAACAGCCACACCACCACTTGGGTTGACATCAACAGCCACACCACCATTTGGGTTGACATCAACAGCCACACCACCATTTGGGTTGACATCAACAGCCACACCACCACTTGGGTTGACATCAACAGCCACACCACCATTTGGGTTGACATAAAAGTCAGGTACAAACAGCTACATAAACTGTAAATGCTGTGACGGTCACTACATTAGGCAACGCCCACCCACCCACTCATACAGCCAGTCACTAATGATTCTCCAATCACTCTTATAAGGTTGACATAAAAAGGCATTTTAACAATAAAGTAAAAATAGTTTTTGTCAATAAACACAGCAACTGATGGCATTATAAACAAACATAGGCTTGTATATGAACAAAGTGCTCTCTAAACCTTCCCCACATCTGGTCCCCAACAACCAAACTACAGCAACTCAACGGAAATGTTTGTTTAGAGTCAGGTAATCTAGGTGGCAGGAGAAAATATATAAAGACCAAATATTTGGATCTCAAACATAGAAGGAAGTGACCACTTTTGGCTGAACCAAGTCTCTCCTTATTCGAGGACACTAGACGAATTTCACTAAGACCATCTTGTAGAAACCCAATTAGGAAGTCTTTTAAATCTTTAATGGCGCCCTTCTATCAAAAATCAAATCTAAGACTGTTTAACACCAAGAAACAATGAACAAAAAACATCAAAAGCTGAACTGTGTTGGACGTGAGTAATCATGGGGTAGCACACTATAGGCCTGACAAAATCGCAGCAGTGGGAAGAACTGCTGCTTCTGGAGCTACATACAGGCTACAGGAAGGTGGAAATTATTGTCTTAGAAATGCTTATCAGCAGCCAATAATTAATAGGGAAACAATATTTTTAAGCCAAAATTTTTTCTTCTAACACGTTCAGATTTCCATGAAAAAATCTAAGTTATCCTATCAAATGACATCAGGTGTTCCATCAAATGACATCAGGTGTTCCATCAAATGACATCAGGTGTTCCATCAAATGACATCAGGTGTTCCATCAAATGACATCAGGTGTTCCATCAAATGACATCAGGTGTTCCATCAAATGACATCAGGCGTTCCATCAAATGACATCAGGTGTTCCATCAAATGACATCAGGTGTTCCATCAAATGACATCAGGTGTTCCATCAAATGACATCAGGTGTTCCATCAAATGACATCAGGTATTCCATCAAATGACATCAGGTGTTCCATCAAATGACATCAGGCATTCCATCAAATGACATCAGGTATTCCATCAAATGACATCAGGTATTCCATCAAATGACATCAGGTGTTCCATCAAATGACATCAGGCGTTCCATCAAATGACATCAGGCATTCCATCAAATGACATCAGGTATTCAATCAAATGACATCAGGTATTCCATCAAATGACATCAGGTGTTCCATCAAATGACATCAGGCATTCCATCAAATGACATCAGGCGTTCCATCAAATGACATCAGGTATTCCATCAAATGACATCAGGTATTCCATCAAATGACATCAGGTATTCCATCAAATGACATCAGGTGTTCCATCAAATGACATCAGGTATTCCATCAAATGACATCAGGTGTTCCATCAAATGACATCAGGCATTCCATCAAATGACATCAGGTATTCCATCAAATGACATCAGGTGTTCCATCAAATGACATCAGGCATTCCATCAAATGACATCAGGTATTCCATCAAATGACATCAGGTGTTCCATCAAATGACATCAGGCATTCCATAAAATGACATCAGGTGTTCCATCAAATGACATCAGGCGTTCCATCAAATGACATCAGGCGTTCCATCAAATGACAGGTGTTCCATCAAATGACATCAGGTGTTCCATCAAATGACATCAGGTGTTCCATCAAATGACATCAGGTATTCCATCAAATGACATCAGGTGTTCCATCAAATGACATCAGGCGTTCCATCAAATGACATCAGGTGTTCCATCAAATGACATCAGGTATTCCATCAAATGACATCAGGTGTTCCATCAAATGACATCAGGCGTTCCATCAAATGACATCAGGTGTTCCATCAAATGACATCAGGCATTCCATCAAATGACATCAGGCGTTCCATCAAATGACATCAGGTATTCCATCAAATGACATCAGGTATTCCATCAAATGACATCAGGTATTCCATCAAATGACATCAGGTATTCCATCAAATGACATCAGGTGTTCCATCAAATGACATCAGGTATTCCATCAAATGACATCAGGTGTTCCATCAAATGACATCAGGCATTCCATCAAATGACATCAGGTATTCCATCAAATGACATCAGGTGTTCCATCAAATGACATCAGGCATTCCATCAAATGACATCAGGTATTCCATCAAATGACATCAGGTGTTCCAGGATTGTGAGAGCCAGTCCAAAACTTGACAGATGGGACAAGCAAGATAAAGCACCAAAAGTTGTCTAACATGTAATACCTCAGCAGTAGCTACCCCACACATGCACGATTTGCTAGTAAGTTACACAAAATAACTACATACACCCACGCTATTTCAGTCACATTGCTTTGAGTTAACAGATGTTTGATATATACACTAGACAAATCATCATTTTAGCAAATTATTGTGGTCCAACTTTCAGCATTTAATGGTTGGACAAAGATTTAAAAACAATGATATTTAAACTATATATTTTTTAGTTTGACAATATAGTGAAGTAAGTTTAATAATATTTGGCTCATCTTAACCTTTGTCTTTGAGTTGCAACTTTTTACTATGTAGCTGGTTAGTTTCTGATATAACACAAGTGTATTCTGGCCATAGTGAGGAGACAGTTATAAGGACCACACGGTGTTGGGGACCACAAGTCTAGGTGTTGTGGACCACAAGTCTAGGTGTTGGGGACCACAAGTCTAGGTGTTGGGGACCACAAGTCTAGGTGTTGGGGACCACAAGTCTAGGTGTTGGGGACCACAAGTCTAGGTGTTGGGGACCACAAGTCTAGGTGTTGGGGACCACAAGTCTTGAAGAAGCTCAAAGCACAACAAGCACTTAACAATTATAAATATTGCTGTAAATTCATCAAGTCATTTTTTGATGCTTTGTGCATCATAATTGGACATTATAAAATAACTATACAGTTTTAACACATGAATTCTTGACACAGAATGATGTAAACTTGTAAAAAATGTTTTTAAAGTATAAGATACATAATGTAAATGACTGCTATAAAAACACTGTATGAATGAACAAGTCCAGTTTAAAAAAAAAATTACCATATACAAATGGTGTATGCCTTCTCTTAAAAAGTAATGGCACATCTAGATGTGGCAGCTTTACACTAGCCAAAGATTTACAGCAACAATTCTCAAACTGTCTACACACAAATAGTCTTTAATCAGGAGCAGAGTTTTGTAAGTTGAACACAAACCAAGACCGATGTAGCTGAGTGCCCTATAACTGCTCACACAACCTGAGACTGTCAATTTGACACGTCAACATGTTGTCTGTCAAGTCACATGTGTGTCATGTCACATGTTGTATGTCATGACTTAAAGGAGCAATAAAAACAATGTTAATTCTATATGATATAAGGCTAAACAAATCAAGCTATGGATATGTTACAATCTATATGCCATCTTTCAGGGGCTCTGTCAAAGCATTACTAGAAATTTGACAGCTAATGTGTATACACCATTAGATTTCAATATTTTCTTCTTGGCTAGAAACATCAAATATCACTCATTTTCTTCTTGACTTGAAACATCGGATTCCTAAAAAAAAAAAAAAAAAAACAGCATGTAAAATATGAAAGCATCTAAGAGTGTAAGCTGCCAACCTGTTTTATTAGTTCTACACGATCAATGTACCTCACTGTCTTCATCAGAATCATCAACTACTGGCTCATTATTTACTCCATCATCGCTGTCTTCATCGTCTAGAGCAGTGGCAGGAATCTGTAGACCTTCTGCTGGCAACAGGTTGATTGTGTTATCACTGGCTGGCATTGCTGGAATACAACACATTTAGTGCTACAGTCCCTATACAACACATTGCTACAGTCCCTATACAACACATTTAGTGCTACAGTCCCTATATAACACATTGCTACAGTCCCTATACAACACATTTAGTGCTACAGTCCCTATACCACACATTTAGTGCTACAGTCCCTATACAACACATTTAGTGCTACAGTCCCTATACAACACATTTAGTGCTACAGTCCCTATACAACATAGTGCTACAGTCTCTATACAACACATTTAGTGCTACAGTCCCTATACAACACATTTAGTGCTACAGTCCCTATACAACACATTTAGTGCTACAGTCCCTATACAACATAGTGCTACAGTCTCTATACAACACATTTAGTGCTACAGTCCCTATACAACACATTTAGTGCTACAGTCCCTATACAACACAGTGCTACAGTCCCTATACAACACAGTGCTACAGTCCCTATACAACACATTTAGTGCTGCAGTCCCTATATAACACATTGCTACAGTCCCTATACAACACATTTAGTGCTACAGTCCCTATACAACATAGTGCTACAGTCCCTATAGAGTCCTTGCAAACACGTGACCTAAATCACGTGATATCTACGCCCGCCGCCACAGTGGTGTACATCAGACGTAAACACAATCAGCTGTTCGCCAGCGCTGGACGTGTCTCAAAATGTGTTCGCTGTACGTAAAGAACCTTGCACCCGCGGATAAGGAAAGTTACGTTAAAAAACTTGAACTCTTAGGCATTGAGGATCCGTATATTGGTGTTGACAGTTTCGTGGATGATATATATATGTGGCCAAAAATTCAGAATATGGACATCGTAAATTATTTTGTGTTTTCAACAAACATCATAACACAAGAGCAGATGAAGAATTACAAGAGCCTGAAATCTTACGTCTATTTCACTGATGGGCTTGTCACAAAAATAAAATGCAGAGCACTTGGAAGTAAAGTGGTTGTTGTTGCACAAGTAAGTTAATGTTATTTCTGTACTATTGACTATAGTATTTTTTTTACGGTTTTATCCTGAATCAAGTACTGCTAGTAATAGTGTTTGCGTTTAAAGTTTAGGTAGAGAAATATAATAAATATAGATTGTCTAGATCTTGTTAGTGTAGATTCTAGATTCTCTACTTAAGTACAAGATTCAGTAGCAATAGATCTAGTAGAACCACACTACTGTAACAAACGTGAGACCACTTAATTCCTACAAAACCCACACTAAAACGGGTAAAATATTTCATTGGCAATACTGATTTTCCACCCTCAAATTTTTTTAACCTCCACGATGCCCAGCCCCCCCCCCCCCCCCACCTCTTTCTAGCCCACCATAAAACTTCATCTCTTTGTAGGTAACACGGATTACTGTTCTTAGATCTTAGATGAGTCAGTACAACTGCCCTCCCCTGAAAATTTCTCACCTCTATGTTACTCAGCCCCCACAGGGATTACTGTTCTTAGATCTCAACCAACCAGAAATAGCATCTCCTATATAATTTTTGACCTCAGGGCCCAGCAGGGAGAACAAAGGGGAAATCAGTCCCACTAACAACACTATTTGACACAAAATACACACACTTAGGCTACACCCAGATAGTGGAAGTAGGGAACAGTTTACGTTGGGATTTCAATGAGAGTACTCGGCAGGCTATTGAAGCCGCAACTCGAGACCAATCAAATTCAAAGGACTGGTTTCGACAAAGAGCTGGGCGCATTACTGCATCCAGAATGCAAGCCTGCTGCAACACAAACTTAGTGCAGCCATCACTGTGCCTCATTAAACAAGTATGTTACCCTAAGCAACAAACATACAGATCAGCTGGCATGAAATGGGGTTGTCAACATGAAAGTTGTGCATTACAACAATATGCACAAATCATGGGGCCCAAGCACAGAAATTTTAAAATAACAAAAAGTGGACTGGTAGTTCACCCTGAGGTGCACTACATAGGAGCCTCTCCAGATGGTCTGGTTACCTGTGACTGCTGTGGACATGGGGTGATTGAGATCAAATGTCCATCATGTACCAAAGACAAAATGTTGGATGACATTTCCAAAAAGGAGGCCAAAAACATGGGTCTCGGACCAAATAAACATTTAAGTAGCGCACACCGCTACTATTACCAAATCCAAACACAAATGGCAGCTACTGAGTCGTCGTATGGGGATTTTATGATATGGACAACAAAAGATGTTCATATAGAAAGAATTTTTTTTGACAGCAACTTCTGGTCAAGCATCTCTTTAAAGGCAGCAGAATTTTTTCATAAAATTATATTGCCTGAGCTCTTGGCATGCTATTTCACCAATAAAAAGGCAACTGGTACTACTAAGGGTGTTGGCAAAAACAAAAAAGCCTGATCTGAATAAATATAAATAAAAAATAAAATGAAAAGTTTTTGTTTTTATTCTTATTTAAAAGTTAAATGCTCAAATGGTACCAATGATAATGTAACATTGTTATGGTTTATACATTGAAAGACTAGATACATTGAAAGACTAGCAACTTTACAGTGTGTGAGGAAATCCATTGGCAACAATGAAAGTGCATTTTAAATAAATGTACTAAATAAATAATCAATCGATCTGAAAGAAGTTTAGATTATGCCACATGTGATTATTTTTAAAAAATGAAAACATATCAATTAATCAAAAGGCACAATGGATGGACAAAGATTAATCAATGCACAACAAGTTGTCACAATATCATCTATTAAAGGATTGCCCCTTGTATTTAAATAATCCAATGGTAGAGTGTCACTTAAAATTTTGAATTTTTGTCTAACTGACCCTATTACCCTTTCTACATGAATCCTTACATTTGCAATCTTTCTTGTCTCCGCTACTTCAAATGCAGATAATTGTTTTTTTCCCCTTGTAAAAGCAGGAATAGCAAGCTTTGCACAATAAAGCCCATCACTATCTGCTATAGTAAATCCCCTATCAGCCAAAACTAAATCTCCAGGCGAAAGTTTGTTTAAAATGCCACAATTTTCTGTTAAGTATTTATCACTAACCCTACCACCCCAAGCCTTAGATATAAAAGATATAGTACATTGTGGAGTGATGCCTATAAGATATTTAATGGTATTGTTGTGTTTATATTGTGACCAGGTGATTGCTCTAGCAGCTAGACTTGATGGTCTGTCAATAAAAATTTCAAAACAATCAATAATAACTGCTATGTTTGCACCAAAGGAACTCTTGAAACAGAGAGGCATAGTTTTTTGTATGTCTTCCCTTTCAGGCCAGACTATAAATTGTCTAAGATTGTGAGCCAAGTGTCGCACCCATTTCTCAAAAATTCTGCTGGCTGTTGACAGTGAAATTTTAAATCTGTACGACAGATCTTGCAGCGGCAAACTAAGCCTTAATTTCATTAATGTTAGCACAAATTCCTGAAATTTGGTGAGACAATTTCTGTGGTTATGTCTTATAGTGTCACAAGTGCTATTAAAAATAAGCATCAGTACACCATATGAATGAATACCGGTGTAGAATTTAACTTTATCATCATTAATGAAGGACTCCTGGGTTAATTCAAAGAATGAAACTTTTTCGCGAAGTAAATAATTCTCATTCCTTAACTGTTGTATCTCTAAATAAAGAGATTCTGTATTGTCACCAGTACTGGTAGTGATAGCTGGTGTTCTGTCTTCTGTATGGTGATGGCTAATGTCAGATTGGGAATTGGTTGTCTGATCACTGTGACACTGATTGTCAGCCATATCATTAGCCATATCCAACTGGGATGTGTTGGTTGTCTGATCACTGTGACACTGATTGTCAGCAATTTCATTAGCCATATCCAACTGGGATGTGTTGGTTGTCTGATCACTGTGACACTGATTGTCAGCAATTTCATTAGCCATATCCAACTGGGATGTGTTGGTTGTCTGATCACTGTGACACTGATTGTCAGCAATATCATTAGCCATATCCAACTGGGATGTGTTGGTTGTGTGATTAACGCCACATGTGTTCTTTGAATTGACAAATGGTAGTATCAAAAGGGCCTCCGCTGCCTCATGTTCAAGTTTCTTTATTCGTCTCTGTAAAGTACGTGTGTGTCAAGTGATGACTTGACTTTTGCCATAGTAATATTATCATGTCCTAGGAAAAGAGTGGGAGTCCAGTCAATGTTTGTTTCATCTCGGAAGTTTGCTGGTCTACCTGGACAGTTAGAATAATAAAAAAAAAAGATTAGATAAAAATAGTAGGAATACTTTAAAAAAAAATTAGCATAATGATTAACCTAATAATAATAAGGTTGTTATTTGTTGTTTTGGTTAATATGTTTTAGATTCTACTACTAGGCTACATACTACATACTAATAACTAGATATGCATCTGAATTTAATTAAACTCAGTCCAGTATCAGATAGATCTACATATTACTGTAAAAAGACACAGAGTAGATAGGCCTAAGGAATTTATTAAAGCCTTCTACTACAATAATATCAATTACATGCTTGAGTAAACCTTTAAAATTTAAAGACAGTAGTAGATTCTAAGTCTAGTCATTCAATCTATTTCAATTTCAGATAATTTCGTTTGATAAATATATTTAATATAATGATTAGTATTAGATTCAAAGAGCTAGATTTTAGATCTTAGAGACTATAGGCTATTAATAGTATTAAATTAAATGTTTGACTATTATGACTTCTTTTGATTTGTTATGGGTGTATTTAGTATTTAGAATCGAATGAATATCTATATTTTGTAATTAAATTTAATTAATTAAGTAGATTCTATGTCTACCAAGCGGAGCCAGTCTAGATCTAAGATCTAGATCTGTGGTTCGAATTTCGTTTACGCCATGTTTTTGTTTAGATCTAGATTCTGGATCTAAATATCACTACTATTACAATTAAATCTTATTATTCTTATTAATACTTTTGACTGTGTCTTTTACTATTAGAATTTTTTAAGGTAGAGCATATTTGTTTTATTAACAGGTATCTTTTATAATTAAAATGAAGTTTAATATTCTACTGTTCTTACCTGAAACAAAGTGTCGAGAACAAATTCGCATGTTGTTAGCCGCTGCTTCGCTCACACCGCTTCGATAAATATTGGCTAAAAATTGACGACGTCTACGTTCTGTTAACTGTCTATCTCTTTCACCTTGGTGTAATATAACCCTTGGCAGTCGAAATAAAGGAATCCCTTTAGATTTGCCACTTCGAGTATCACAACCTTTCACAGCACAGATCACCATTTTGAATGTACACCGAGATGGCGGATGTTTACAAACACGAACGGGCGTGACGTCATATGCAAGGACTCTATACAACACATTGCTACAGTCCCTATACAACACATTTAGTGCTACAGTCCCTATACAACACAGTGCTACAGTCCCTATACAACACATTTAGTGCTACAGTCCCTATACAACATAGTGGTACAGTCCCTATACAACACATTTAGTGCTACAGTCCCTATACAACATAGTGCTACAGTCACTATACAACTTAGTGCTACAGTCCCTATACAACACAGTGCTACAGTCCCTATACAACACATTTAGTGCTATAGTCACTATACAACACATTTAGTGCTGCAGTCCCTATATAACACATTGCTACAGTCCCTATACAACACATTTAGTGCTACAGTCCCTATACAACACAGTGCTACAGTCCCTATACAACACATTTAGTGCTACAGTCCCTATACAACACATTGCTACAGTCCCTATACAACACAGTGCTACAGTCCCTATACAACACATTTAGTGCTACAGTCCCTATACAACACATTTAGTGCTACAGTCCCTATACAACACAGTGCTACAGTCCCTATACAACACATTTAGTGCTACAGTCCCTATACAACACATTGCATACAACACATTGCTACAGTCCCTATACAACACAGTGCTACAGTCCCTATATAACACATTGCTACAGTCCCTATACAACACATTTAGTGCTACAGTCCCTATACAACACATTTAGTGCTACAGTCCCTATACAACACATTTAGTGCTACAGTCCCTATACAACACATTGCTACAGTCCCTATACAACATAGTGCTACAGTCCCTATACAACACATTTAGTGCTACAGTCCCTATACAACACATTTAGTGCTACAGTCCCTATACAACACATTGCATACAACACATTGCTACAGTCCCTATACAACACAGTGCTACAGTCCCTATACAACCCATTTAGTGCTACAGTCCCTATACAACCCATTTAGTGCTACATTGACAGAAGAACTGAAATACACTTACGCTTGACTTTGGCAACAGGGCGATCTGTTTTCTGTGGTTTCTCTTCTGACATTGAGCGTGGAGGAGGTTTGTGAATTGAATCTGTACTGCTGGGTGCATTTTCACTTTGGCTACGTCTGTAGAAAGCAGCCTACATGACAACAGATGAAATGTTAGCTCAAGGTTTAGACTGTCAACATTAAATGTATCAAATTTTTTTCTATCATGTTATAAGGTTTATCAAGTTGTAAGCTTAAATTTTAGACTCCAAAAAAGTTTGTTTTGTTACATTTTGTTTCTGGTTTAATTTCTGTATCTAGCATACTTGATAGATTCTGGATAAAGTTTTATTTTCAACTAAATTATGTTTCCTGTTAAATTTCAGTTTCTTTCTAAATTGCCAGATCCGGATAATTTCTGTATCCCGTTTAAATTCCATATCTGTTAAAAATACTGGTTCCAAATAAAGTTCCGTTTCATTGAATTCAATTTTTAAAAAAAATTTCCAGTTAAATATTTGGTTGTGCTTAAATTTCTGTTTTTGCATAGGAGTTATTGTTCAGGAAAATGTCCTGTTCTAGAAAAAAAATGTCAGCTTCTGGTGAAGGTTTTGGCTGCTGTTTAATTTCAGCTTCCAGAATAAGTTCAGAATTCTGTAAAATTTCCTGTTTAATTTCCATTAAGGTTCAAGTTTCAGTTAAAATTGCGTTTGAGGGGCAGGGGTTTGCCTACACTACCAACCAGAACGACCCAGGGCATTCTGTATGAAAGACTTGAGTGTAGGTTAATCACACTCAGTAATAGTGAGTAAGGACACACTTAAGCGACCACCCAGATGTCAGGGACGTAGCAGGATGCTCTAGGGAGCCCCCAGTTACACTACCGCAGGGGCACCACGTACAGCCCCGTGTTAGGGTTAATATTATAGGGTGCTCCTTAAACTAACGAAGGCGCCATAGTGGTCACGGGATAGCCCAGGGTGCTAAATCGCAGCATACCGGAGGATATAATCAATGATTATTGTTGCCATAATGTTTTAATCTATAGACTTATTTTTAAAAAGGAACGTAGGCGCCATAGTTTTCACAGGGGAGCCAGTGCTCTTCAGAACATGAAATCACTGTTAAATCACCGGGGCGCCAGCGTCTGATGCAGATGTACCACTGAATATAGTAGTACCCCTCTCCCTCTTTAAAGAAAAACCAAGTGATACGATATGCGCTCTGGAACTCTGGGTGCCAAACCCAGACAAAAAAAAACGCACCCTCCCAGGCGCCGCCAATAAGAATTTTTTTTTGATAAAGTTAACGATTATTGTTGCCCATCATGTCTTAAGGTTATGGTTTTTTTAAAACGAACGTAGGCGCTATGGTGCTCGCAGGAGAGCTTCAGGTTGTGCAATGGACGAAAATCGCACCCTCCCAGGCGCCGGCCATAAAAAATTTTAATTTTTTTTTTTGCAGAAGAAATCTTCTCACAAGTATTCTCATTAACTCCACAATGTTTAATGGTACTCGCATGAAAGCTGTAGTAATGCATATAAGACAAACAGAAAGAAAGATAAACATATATTGCTTTATATATATATATATATATTTAATATATACATTCATGCATGTATCCACTTGATAGAGCCAATGTACTAAAACTGATCTTAGGGGAACTAAAAGTATGTTTAACTTTTTGTTCTGGTTGGTAATGTACTTATTTTGACTGTCTATTTTGCTCACTTTCAGCCATTTCAGATGCAACATTTACAACAAATACCTACAACTACTCTTCATTCACAACATTTACAACAAATACCTACAACTACCCTTCATTCACAACATTTACAACAAACACCTACAACTACCCTTCATTCACAACATTTACAACAAATACCTACAACTACCCTTCAGACACAACATATAAAACAAATACCTACAACTACCCTTCATTCACAACATTTAAAACAAATACCTACAACTACCCTTCATTCACAACATTTAAAACAAATACCTACAACTACCCTTCATTCACAACATTTACAACAAATACCTACAACTACCCTTCATTCACAACATTTAAAACAAATACCTACAACTACCCTTCATTCACAACATTTACAACAAATACCTACAACTATCCTTCAGATACATTTAACCACATACAACTACCTTGCAGACACAACATTTACAACTGATATCTACAACTACCCCTAGTTTTACAGACAAAAAAAAAAACTTGATATTGTAGGGTACTCTGCCCAAAACATACAAAACTGTTTGCCAATGATTCTATTAAATCATATTTTTTTTGCTTGTATGTTGACAAGATATGTTTAACAATTGTTGGGGATGAGAGATGGTTTTGGTAAATATTTGTGGGACGAACAATCATGTTTGAGCCAACAAGAAGCACTAGAGGATGGATGTACTTACCCTAGAGGGACTACCCTGGTTTGTGTCAGTGATATCACTGTTGACCGATGTTTTACTGGAGCCAGTGGAAGAGTTTTTCAACTCTAAAGTCACAGACTTTCTTTCAGTCTCTTCGTCATCCCTACAGTTTCCCTCCTCAGCTTTCTGGTCTGGATCCACCTGCACTTTGTCACAGGCTGAATGCTCCATGTCCCCTCCCTGTTTGAAAACTATCTCTTGAGCATTTTCCTCTTCTTCAAAAGAAACTGTCCTGTTATAGCGCACATTTCTTGCTGCTTCTTCTGAAGAAGGCTTACTGTAAGATTTGTGCAGTTCATGACCAGCAGGCATCAGTTTCCTCTCCACTCCCCCAGTGGGCGGCCGCCTGCGCTCACCCCCAATGTGGTCAGCATCAGCTGACAGCTCTGAGATGACAGCTGTTGGCAGCATCAGCAGCTCAGCCCTGGCCCCATAGTCAGGCCTGAGCTGACTCTTGAGCTGGGTCTGCTGTGTGTTCAGAGTCTGCTCATCAGAGTCATTAGCAGCATGCAAGTTCAAGCTGATGGAGGAGTTCTCACAGGCTGAGTGCAATGACTCTGCCAGTTCTTGTTCCTTCAGGTTCATGATACGATGGTCAAGGTTGCTCTCTTGGGAGCTGGGTTGGGGGCTAAAGCCAACCCTGCCTGGCCTGTGGGCACGCTGCTGGTTGACCCGTTCAGAGGGAGCTCTGATCTGTTGGGTTGTTTGACCTGGGGAGTCTGAGCGCAACAATTCACGTTGACCTAATTGACGGCCCACTGGGTTAGAAGTGTTCAGTGGGGTGTCATTATCAGGCAGAAGTTGGCTGAACCTTGGCACCCGAGCTTCAATGGCCTCATCATCCACTTCACCTTCTGGACTAGCAATGACGGAGGTACTGCGTGTAAACATAGCCAAAGCTGGGGGACAGCCATTCATTGGATGTTGCAGGCAAAGAGCATCAAGTGGAGGTGAGGCAGGAACATTTTTAACAAATGATGTAGATGGTATGAAGAGGGGTGCTCTCATTGGCTGGCCAGGTGGGGAGTTACTGGCTGCCAGATTTTGAAAGGCTACACTTCGCTGTGGAGTCTCAGGGACTAGGAGGGGATCGTTCTCCCCCAGGTCAGGGTTGGGCTCAGACCTCTCAACCAGCAACTTTTCAGGGCCAATACTTTCCTGGTCAGAACTAGAAGCTTTAGTCTGACCAATCACAGCATTTCTTAAAATTCCTTTCCTGTCAGGAAAATGGAATTGACTATCGTTACTTGGGGGGTGCCAGACGGTGCCAGGTGGGGACTGGTGGTACTCTCCTGTTATGTTGTTGTTGGCCTTGTCACCCCCAGCAATTATAAACTGCTGGACATTGGCGCACACATTTTTAGCTCGCATGTCCCCTGGCATAGTGTGGAGCCCAATCTCAGAATCTGCACAATTTTTAGAGCAATCTGCAGACAAAAGATTTTAAATTTTAGAGCAATCTGCAGACAAAAGATTTTAAAAATTCTTGAAGCAATCTGCAGACAAAAGATTTTTTTTAAAATCAATCTGCAGACAAAAGATTTTTTTAAAAATCAATCTGCAGACAAAAGATTTTAATTCTTAAAGCAATCTGCAGACAAAAGATTTCATCAGCAAAACTTTTAGAGCACTCTGCAGTGCTAGCAACAGATGTTATCATTCTCAAGAAACAATCATAAAGTGTTACATTAGGAATTTTTTTAAAATTAAATAATTACCCAGTTATTTGTTTAAGGACAAATAAAATAAAGCGGGAGTGATCTCCACTAAACTTTCTCAAATATATATATGTTACGGTCAAAGCCCAAAGTCGGCCAATGCTAGGATTGGCCGGCCAATCCGCGCATTGGCCAATATCGCCTCCCATAGGTAGGTCAAAGTCCGAAACTTTGCTTGATTTCGGCCTTTGGCCGGCCAATCCGCAGACTGGCCAATGTGGACCGGCCAAAGTCTGAAATAGCTCTTCATTTCGGCCTTTGGCCGGCCAGTCCGCGGACTGGCCATGGTGGACCGGCCAAAGTTTTAATTAGAAGATCATCTGGCTAGGGACGACCGGCCAAAGTCCTAATTAGAAGATCATGAGCAGATTTTGGCTTTTTATGCAGTAAGGATCATGAAATTAAGTCTTTATTGATTATTAATTACAGTAAATGACAGAAATATTCAAATTTTTTATTGTACTATAGTCTCAATCTATCAATATCATCATTTGTTACAACAAGTTGAACTTTTATGGCATTTAGAATTACATAGCAGCTTGTTATTTTTACACTTGAAGCGATTTGCTGTGCACTTAATTGTGCAATTGCTGCGAGTGTAGCCTTGGCCCCCAGTCAATGATTGTGAAGATGCGATGGTTCGTAGAGATTTTTCCTCAGTGCCAACTGACGACTTTATGAGCAGTTTTTCGTGAAGAATTGAAAACTCACTTCTAGAATATATTTGTTTTAGAACACCATTGTCACCCACTTCATCATCTTTAAATTTTGTATTTGATGTTTTAAGCATCTTAGCACCTTGAGTTTGCAAGCCAGTATGAGCTGCTGATCTGTGTTCCATGATGTCTTGTTTGTTGTGACACAATCTGAAGGTAATGTTCCCTCCGTACCCTTCGTCTGCTTCATTGGGTATTCCACAAATAGCAAGGACATCGTTGCCACAGGATCCAAAAGAATGAGCTGCACTACAATGTTTTTCACAAACTATACAGAATCGGTTGGCCACAATATTGTCACGCAACTGGTCTGGACGTTCCGCCACGGCAGTAGATGTGTTAGCTGAGGATGTCGTTGCATTTATGGCAACCTCTATTTCTTGTTCAATGTTCTCAAGATCTTCCTCAGTAACTATTTTATCGAGAGCCCATATATGGAAACTAACATGGATTTACATTTTTTTCTTTTGACAGCCATCTGCTATGTCTGTCTCATGGTCTGACGGCCCTTTTGATCCATGTCGCCTTGCATATAGAATGCTATACAAACAAGAGCTAAACAATACGTTACTCTCAATGAAAACGCACCCAGAATAATGAAAATGCGATCACAACTTAGTCTAGATAGAACATTGGCCAGGACATCCCGGCCAGTGCGCGCATTGGCCGGCCAATGTACAAAATACGCTGTCAAGTTTAAGCTCTTCGGACTTTGGCCAGTACGTCCCGGCCAGTGCGCGCATTGGCCGGCCAATGTACGAAATACGATCTTAGTGCTAAGTTCTTCGGGCTTTGGCCAAGAGAGCCGGCCAATCCGCGGATTGGCCGGCCAATCCTAGCTTTGGCCGCACTTCGGGCTTTGACCGTAACATATATATATATAATTCTCTTCATGGGGACCATGAGGGACACCACCAAGACGTAAGTGTGCCTAGAAGCCCCTGTCTTCCTCTCTAGGCACCGGTCTGGTGAGCTGTAGTTCACGCCGAATGTTTACAATTGTAGAGCCGGGTCCAATTAATGATGGCTATTAGGGGCAGATAATTTAGTTTGAAACTATTTTATACTTAGGGGAGGTAACTAAGAGGCTGCTTTCATGGGTGGGGTGGGGTGGGGGGTATTGCCCTTAATCAGCTACTGATATTAACGAGCTACTGATAGTGTTTTAAAGCAAATATTTTCAGTGGCAGCATTGGTAGTATCGAATTCACAAATTATGAATTACTGAAAAGTAGAAAATACAGCAACTAAATAGCGGCGTATGCTACGCCGCGGGTTGGCTCGTGTTCTTATATTTCACTTAGGGGATGGCAACTGAAGATTTTGACATGACTTTTTAATTACTTAAACTTTTTAAAATAGAATCTCACACCAAGTGAACAGCAAACAATTTGTGTATGATAGTGCGTAGCATTAGTACTTAAAAATTCATAAAACTTTTTTAAAGAAATAAATTACTACTTCCGGTAAACGGAAATTACTCAAAATTTGAATGAAAATAGAGAATTAGATATTTTACTTATATGTGAAATTTATAAGAAATAGTAATCAAGTTATAGGCTTTTGAAAAACCGAAAGTAGAATAAGTTCCATTTCTGGTTACTGGAAATAGCTGAAAAATTGATACAGAACTACAAGTTTGATATAATACTTGTATATGAAATTTCTTCAACCTAGCTATAAAGATACTCAAGTTATAGTGTTCACAGACACACTTCCGCACACACACAGGTATACGGACAAAATTGCAAAACTATGCTTGTCCCACTCTGGGAGGAGTAAAATGTTGAGATTTGTGAAAATCTTGATTTTGATTTTTTGAACCATTACAACGAGCTGAACCCACGTTGTATCACACGCAGCTATTTAGTTTTATTTTCTACTTTTCAGTAATTCATATTTGCTTTAAAACACTAAAACCCTCCCCCCCCCCCCCCCCCCCCCCGTGAAAGCAGCCTCCTCTTAGTTACCTCCCCTAAGTTTAAAATAGTTTCAAACTAAATTATCTGCCCCTAATAGGCGTCACTAAACCCGGCTCTACGATTGTAAACATTTAGCGTGAACCACAGCTAGTTGCGATATGCCTAGAGGAAGAGAGGGGACTGCTAGGCACGCTTACAGCTTGGTGTTTTCTAACGTCTCCAAGAAGAGTTATATATATAGATACTTCCTTTATACTTCGTATACAAAAAGTAAAAAAGACCCCATTATTAGACAACAGCTAAGTTAAAAATGTACCTATTTTAAATAATACTTTTATTAATGGATAAGTAAAATATAAAGCCTCACCACATAACGTACCCCTACGTCTTTTGTACAACAAAATGATAAGAATCACCAGGATGACCACCAATACAAAAGCAACAGATCCTCTGAAAGAAGAGATTTTTTATCAAAATGTTAGCAACCACCAAAATGAAAAGAAAAAGTTATTTTAAAACTAGGGGAGAATCGGAAGAGGTGAAAAGATGGCTAACAACAATGGCATACAATTTACTGTATTTCAAGTTTTTAAAGCAATTTTAAGGACATTTTAACAGTAACATAACATTAAAGAAAAATGGGGTCAGATTCAATGACAATAGTGGTAACTTAACTATATTGGACCCATATTTTCTTTGTTTATCATACTACATTATGTTATTTTTTAACTTCCTTGCACTTGAAACAAAAAAAACTGCCTTGGAATATATGTATTGGTGTTAGAGGTTTATGTTGCTCTCAGAAAAAAAACAAAAGCCTACATGACGGGTCCCAACAAACTGGCATCTTCTACAGCTTCATGTTTCTTTGACGGGGCATAGGTTGGGGTCAACACTGTGGGAGTACTTATGATGGTGGTGCTTGTCACCTGTGTTTTCTGTGTGCTGGCCGTAGTAGTGGGAGGATCTGAAACAAAGTCCACACTCTCATCAATTTACATAGTACACTGCATTTTATACGCTTGTTGCAGTCAGTTGACTGACCTGGTACTACAGTTGACTGACCTGGTACTACAGTTGACTGACCTGGTACTACAGTTGACTGACCTGGTACTACAGTTGACTGACCTGGTACTACAGTTGACTGACCTGGTACTACAGTTGACTGACCTGGTACTACAGTTGACTGACCTGGTACTACAGTTGACTGACCTGGTACTACAGTTGACTGACCTGGTACTACAGTTGACTGACCTGGTACCTGGTACTACAGTTGACTGACCTGGTACTACAGTTGATTGACCTGGTACTACAGTTGACTGACCTGGTACTACAGTTGACTGACCTGGCACTACAGTTGACTGACCTGGCACTACAGTTGATTGACCTGGTACTACAGTTGACTGACCTGGCACTACAGTTGACTGACCTGGTACTACAGTTGACTGACCTGGTACTACAGTTGACTGACCTGGTACTACAGTTGACTGACCTGGTACTACAGTTGACTGACCTGGTACTACAGTTGACTGACCTGGTACTACAGTTGACTGACCTGGTACTACAGTTGACTGACCTGGTACTACAGTTGACTGACCTGGTACTATAGTTGACTGACCTGGTACTACAGTTGACTGACCTGGTACCTGGCACTACAGTTGACTGACCTGGTACTACAGTTGACTGACCTGGCACTACAGTTGACTGACCTGGTACTACAGTTGACTGACCTGGTACTACAGTTGACTGACCTGGTACTACAGTTGACTGACCTGGTACTACAGTTGACTGACCTGGTACTACAGTTGACTGACCTGGTACTACAGTTGACTGACCTGGTACTACAGTTGACTGACCTGATACTACAGTTGACTGACCTGGTACTACAGTTGACTGACCTGGTACCTGGCACTACAGTTGACTGACCTGGTACCTGGTACTACAGTTGACTGACCTTGCACTACAGTAGACTGACCTGGTACTACAGTTGACTGACCTGGTACTACAGTTGACTGACCTGGTACTACAGGTTTGATGGTTGTGGTGACCAACACTGGCTTGCTACATAAACTGTCTGCCTCACGAGTTCCATGAGAGATGTAGCTCAGTCCCAGCATTGTACAGCTAAGAACAAAAGGTTGCACTCCAAGTTCAAATACCATTTTATTTCACTTGACATACTAAGGTCATGTTCACTTATTATACTTTAGCACGATCATTTGACTGGACATTTTTATGTTTATTTTAAAATTCTTCAATGGGAATGAGTTAAAAAAATAGGTATTAAAGTTTGTAGACTTACTTTGTTAATGGCTCACAAAGGTTGTAATTTTCTTCAGATTTAAAATAATTTTCTTGGCAAGGTTGGCAGGAACCTGTGATACAATTAAAAACAAGGGATGAAAAATAAGGCTAATGATTCCAGTTTATGTTTAAGTTGTCTAGATAAAACATCTTCAATTTAACAACATTTTTTGTGACTATTTAAATAATGAGTTTTTTTTTACCAATGTTGTTTGTATTGGACCAGGTGGGGTTACTATTGTGGTGTTTTTATTGTGGTGCTACTAATGTTGTTTGTGTTATACAATTGTGGTGTTTCTAATGTTGTTTGTATTATACTATTGTGGTGTTTCTAATGTTGTTTGTATTATACTATTGTGGTGTTACTAATGTTGTTTGTGTTATACTATTGTGGTGTTTTTATTGTGGAGTTACTAATGTTGTTTGTATTATACTATTGTGGTGTTTCTAATGTTGGTGTTATACTATTGTGGTGTTTTTATTGTGGTGCTACTAATGTTGTTTGTGTTATACTATTGTGGTGTTTCTAATGTTTGTGTTATACAATTGTGGTGTTACTAATGTTGTTTGTGTTTTACTATTGTAGTGTTACTAATGTTGTTTGTGTTATACTATTGTGGTGTTTCTAATGTTTGTGTTATACAATTGTGGTGTTTTTATTGTGGTGCTACTAATGTTGTTTGTGTTATACTATTGTGGTGTTTCTAATGTTTGTATTATACTATTGTGGTGTTTTTATTGTGGTGCTACTAATGTTGTTTGTGTTATACAATTGTGGTGTTTCTAATGTTGTTTGTATTATACTATTGTGGTGTTTCTAATGTTGTTTGTATTATACTATTGTGGTGTTACTAATGTTGTTTGTGTTATACTATTGTGGTGTTTTTATTGTGGAGTTACTAATGTTGTTTGTATTATACTATTGTGGTGTTTCTAATGTTGGTGTTATACTATTGTGGTGTTTTTATTGTGGTGCTACTAATGTTGTTTGTGTTATACTATTGTGGTGTTTCTAATGTTTGTGTTATACAATTGTGGTGTTACTAATGTTGTTTGTGTTTTACTATTGTAGTGTTACTAATGTTGTTTGTGTTATACTATTGTGGTGTTTCTAATGTTTGTGTTATACAATTGTGGTGTTTTTATTGTGGTGCTACTAATGTTGTTTGTGTTATACTATTGTGGTGTTTCTAATGTTTGTATTATACTATTGTGGTGTTTTTATTGTGGGGTTACTAATGTTGTTTGTGTTATACTATTGTGGTGTTTCTAATGTTGTTTGTATTATTCAATTGTGGTGCTACTAATGTTGTTTGTATTATACTATTGTGATGTTTCTAATGTTGTTTGTGTTATACTATTGTGGTGTTTCTAATGTTATTTGTGTTATACAATTGTGGTGCTACTAATGTTGTTTGTATTATACTATTGTGGTGTTACTAATTTTGTTTGTATTATACAATTGTGGTGCTACTAATGTTGTTTGTGTTGGACCAGGTGGGGTTACTATTGTGGTGTTGCTAATGTTTTATACAAAGCTCACCTTCAACTGTTGGTTCTTCCCCCACTTTACAGGGGTAGGGAATTCTCTGACAGTTGGAATCAGACTGGACAGATGGGTCAGGAATTTCTGGTCTTTCATATTTCAGTCCAAGTTCAAGGTTACACATACATCGTTTCATGTCCTCATCAATTGGACTATCTCCTGCAGAAAAAAGTAAACATAAATCCCCAACAGTGAAATCAGATATTTTATCCATTGAAACAGTGCAACTATATAGAGTAAACATACTTTTGCCATTACTACATTTGTCATCTAAGGGCCAGCTCTTGCATCTCTCCATAGTGTATGATGATGTTCGCAGCGACTGGTTGTAACGAGCTGAGCATACTTGGCAGGTATCCTGGGTACCATTGATGGTACATACCATCACTTCCATACCTTCACAAGTTAAATAAACAAAGATCACTTTAATAACTTCACAAGTTCAATAAACAAAGATCGCTTTAATAACTTCACAAGTTCAATAAACAAAGATCATTTTCATTCTTTCAAAAAATAAACAAACAGAACATTTATACCTTCACTTGATCAATAAAGAGTGTAGAGTATTGCTAAAACACAGCTAAAGGATAGGTTAAGTTACCAATGCCACAGCGTGTGGGGAAGCAGCAAGTCAAGACAAGGTTCCTGTCCATGTGAGCCAGCTGACCCTGAGGACATGTTCCCGATGTTCCCGTCACACCCTGGGATTTGACCTGCAGATAAAAATTATTTAATGGTGGCAAACATTTTCTGGAGAATATCAACTATCAAGAGAGCTGACTCCAAAATTGGAAGGTAAAACATTGTGACATTCTTGTCACATTCTACAATATAGTCTATTTCTAATCAAAAGCTTTTTCAGGATGTACTGCTTTCTTTATTAAAAAAAAAACAACTGAATACCTAAACCAAAAATTAAAAGCTGGAAAAATTTTATCAAATAGCTTTTAATAAACCAGACTAGGTAAACATAAGGTAACCTTTGACCTGAGATAGCAAGCAGCTAATCATAAATACTGAGTCATCCCACCACCCAGACATCACCAACCCACCACCCCAGACATCTCTATCCCACCACCCCAGACATCTTCATCCCACCTCCCCAGACATCACCATCCCATCATCCCAGACATCACCAACCCACCACCCCAGACATCTTCATCCCACCTCCCCAGACATCACCATCCCATCATCCCAGACATCACCAACCCACCACCCCAGACATCTTCATCCCACCACCCCAGACATCTCTATCCCACCACCCCAGACATCTCCATCCCACCACCCCAGACATCACCAACCCACCACCCCAGACATCACCATCCCACCTCCCCAGACATCTCCATCCCACCACCCCAGACATCACCATCCCACCACCCCAGACATCACCAACCCACCATCCACCACCCCAGACATCACCATCCCACCACCCCAGACATCACCATCCCACCACCCCAAACAACACCATCCAGACATCACCATCCCACCTCCCCAGACATCACCAACCCACCATCCACCACCCCAGACATCACCATCCCACCACCCCAGACATCACCATCCCACCACCCCAAACAACACCATCCAGACATCACCATCCCACCTCCCCAGACATCACCAACCCACCACCCCAGACATCACCAACCCACCACCCCAGACATCTCTATCCCACCTCCCCAGACATCTCTATCCCACCTCCCCAGACATCACCATCCCATCATCCCAGACATCACCATCCCACCACCCCAGACATCACCATCCCACCACCCCAGACATCACCATCCCACCTCCCCAGACATCACCAACCCACCACCCCAGACATCACCATCCCACCTCCCCAGACATCTCTATCCCACCTCCCCAGACATCACCATCCCATCATCCCAGACATCACCATCCCACCACCCCAGACATCACCATCCCACCTCCCCAGACATCTCTATCCCACCTCCCCAGACATCACCATCCCACCACCCCAGACATCACCATCCCACCACCCCAAACATCACCATCCCATCATCCCAGACATCACCAACCCACCACCCCAAACATGACCACCCCAGACATCACCATCCCACCACCCCAGACATCACCATCCCACCATCCACCACCCCAGACATCACCATCCCACCACCCCAGACATCACCATCCCACCACCCCAGACATCACCATCCCACCGCCCCAGACATCCCAGCCACCCCAGTTTGCAAACTAACAGTTACCCTCACACTTGGAATCACTGGATGATTAATTATGAGAGATCTCAATAAATGGTATAAATGTTTTTAAAATTTTATGAGCGATAAAACAACTTGAACTAATACAAAATTTATTCCATCACTCAGGCGCACAGATAAAATCTAAGAGAGCTAAGTGTTTGTGGAACAGTGAAGAGCTTCATAAATACTCAACTCATTATTTAAACAGGAGCTACATTGTATGCAAGTCAAAAGTGAAGGTAAAATAAACTGTGAAGGTAAACTATGTCCAAACCAGTGGTGACTGTACAAGACTAGCCACTAAACCAGTGGTGACTGTACAAGACTAGCCACCAAACCAGTGGTGACTGTACAAGACAAGCCACCAAACCAGTGGTGACTGTACAAGACAAGCCACCAAACCAGTGGTGACTGTACAAGACTAGCCACCAAACCAGTGGTGACTGTACAAGACTAGCCACCAAACCAGTGGTGACTGTACAAGACTAGCCACCAAACCAGTGGTGACTGTACAAGACTAGCCACCAAACCAGTGGTGACTGTACAAGACTAGCCACCAAACCAGTGGTGACTGTACAAGACTAGGTACAAGAGTAGCCACCAAACCAGTGGTGACTGTACAATACTAGGTACAAGACTAGCCACCAAACCAGTGGTGACTGTACAAGACTAGGTACAAGACTAGCCACCAAACCAGTGGTGACTGTACAATACTAGGTACAAGACTAGCCACCAAACCAGTGGTGACTGTACAAGACTAGCCACCAAACCAGTGGTGACTGTACATGACTAGGTACAAGACTAGCCACCAAACCAGTGGTGACTGTACAAGACTAGGTACAAGAGTAGCCACCAAACCAATACACATTTCAGCTGGATGAATCTATTCACCCAGCAGGAATCTATTCATTCTTCAGGTAGTTGATTGACAGCAAGTGTTAAGACTGGCACCCCTCCTGCTCTGACTAGGCAAAGTGTTCAGCTTGACTGCTCTATGTGATATACTGTGACAGATGACCTGGATTAGCCAGATAAAGGGCTGCTACCATACCTGTGTCAACTAAATTCCTTATGCTACCATCTTGTTTCTATACTGCATGGTAAATTGTTAGGTGTACACTTTTATTATCATTGCCACACACACACACACTGGGTACATTTTTTGACCTGCCCTAACACCTCATAAAGCTGTCAAACAAGTGGGGAAAGAATTATGTGAGTTGGTGTCAAGAATGTGGATTTTTAACACCAAGACAAGATCTTAAGCACCAATGATATCATTAGTCAGTCAGCAGCACAGCAGGCAAAGAAATATTCTACCAATGTTTACACCATCTAACATACTGCTGCAAGTAGGGAGTCATAGGTCATGTACAATAGGCTAGCACACTGCAATCATTGTACCAGCAGGTCACATTAGCTACTGGTCAACTAACATCAGTGACTTGACGTACATCTCTCACACACTGGTCAACTAACATCAGTGACTTGATGTACACATCTCTCACACACTGGTCAACTAACATCAGTGACTTGACGTACATCTCTCACACACTGGTCAACTAACATCAGTGACTTGACATACATGTCTCACACACTGGTCAACTAACATCAGTGACTTGATGTACATCTCTCACACACTGGTCAACTAACATCAGTGACTTGATGTACATCTCTCACACACTGGTCAACTAACATCAGTGACTTGACGTACATGTCTCACACACTGGTCAACTAACATCAGTGACTTGATGTACATCTCTCACACACTGGTCAACTAACATCAGTGACTTGATGTACATCTCTCACACACAGGTCAACTAACATCAGAGACTTGATGTACATCTCACACACTGGTCAACTAACATCAGTGACTTGATGTACATCTCTCACACACTGGTCAACTAACATCAGTGACTTGATGTACACATCTCTCACACACTGGTCAACTAACATCAGTGACTTGATGTACATCTCTCACACACAGGTCAACTAACATCAGTGACTTGATGTACATCTCTCACACACTGGTCAACTAACATCAGTGACTTGTTGTACATCTCTCACACACTGGTCAACTAACATCAGTGACTTGATGTACATCTCACACACTGGTCAACTAACATCAGAGACTTGATGTACATCTCACACACTGGTCAACTAACATCAGTGACTTGATGTACATCTCTCACACACTGGTCAACTAACATCAGTGACTTGATGTACATCTCTCACACACTGGTCAACTAACATCAGAGACTTGATGTACATCTCACACACTGGTCAACTAACATCAGTGACTTGATGTACAGTACACATCTCTCACACACTGGTCAACTAACATCAGTGACTTGATGTACACATCTCTCACACACTGGTCAACTAACATCAGTGACTTGATGTACATCTCACACACACTGGTCAACTAACATCAGTGACTTGATGTACATCTGACTGGACACATGTGGTGTATATTGGTGTTACACATATGGTGTATATTGGTCTTGCACATGTGGTGTATATTGGTCTTACACATGAGGTGTATGTGGTGTATATTGGTGTTATACATGAGGTGTATATTGGTGTTACACATGTGGTGTATATTGGTGTTATACATGAGGTGTATATTTGTGTTATACATGTGGTGTATATTGGTGCCACACATGTGGTGTATATTGGTGTTACACATGAGGTGTATATTGGTGTTACACATGTGGTGTATATTGGTGCCACACATGTGGTGTATATTGGTGTTACACATGAGGTGTATATTGGTGTTTCACATGTGGTGTATATTGGTGTTACACATGTGGTGTATATTGGTGTTATACATGAGGTGTATATTGGTGTTACACATGAGGTGTATATTGGTGTTACACATGTGGTGTATATTGGTGTTACACATGTGGTATATATTGGTGTTATACATCATGTCATGTCATGTTTGCCTGTCGTCCCTACTGGGACATAGGCCGCTGACAAGAGCTTTCCAGACGTCTCTGTCCAGGGCTAGTCTCTCCAACTGTCCCCAGGTGTATCCAATCTTCTTGGTGTCTTCTTCCAGGTCACGTCTCCAGGTCTTTCTTGGTCTGCCTCTCTTCCTCCTGCCTTGTGGATTCCAGGTGAGGGCCTGTCTTGTTATGCTGGATACAGGCTTCCTGAGTGTGTGGCCAATCCATTTCCATTTTCTCTGGAGGATCTCTACTTCCACTGGCAGTTGATTTGTCCGTTGCCATAGAACATCATTTCTGATGGTTTTAGGCCAGCGAATTCGCAGGATCTTTCTGAGACATGCGTTTATAAATGATTGTATTTTCTTCTTATTTATAGCAGTTATTCTCCATGTCTCAGCTCCATAGAGTAAAACAGGTTTTACTAGTGTGTTGAAGATCCGGATTTTTATTCTAAGGGTTAAATCTCCCGAACCCCAAACATTTTTTAGTTGGTTGAAGACTGCTCTTGCCTTACCCGTCCTTATTTTTATGTCTGCTTCTGTC